AGGTTGGTACAGCGACAGTGGGTATGCTCCTTGTCAGTTGGGAGGGTGGGGACGGGTATGATGTTGGGAAGGGCAAGGAGGGTCGTAGACCGCGTCCGAAACCAGGGGGGCGCATGAACAGACGCCGAATTTTTCCCGGCCCGTCTGTGAGGAAGGGGTTGGCAACGCGCTTACGCAGCCTGAGGAGACGTCCTTGAATTGCAGGTTCTTGGTAACATATTACCAGAGGTCAACGTTCAGTGTCATTTGTACTGGAAGGAATTAGATAGGGTACACTTGCCAAACAAACCACCAGGAGATCGAGGAATCCACTGTTGCTGTGGCCAAACCAACATAATACCATGAGCAAAGCCAAAAAATGCGAGCTTTCAAACAAACAAATCAATTGGTCCTGTAGTGTTCCTTTCGAAAGCCCTAAAGACCAACAGGTACTTTCAATCCATCCCCTTGGTTTCCCTTTTTTCCCTACCCTTCGCCCACCCACGTCATGCTAGAGAGTCTTTTGGATGTTTTTGGTTGCCTCAAACCACCAACAAAAAGGAACGACCCTAATCATCTCAAACTCTAAGCCTAGGAAGATCCCGACCCAAAGCCAGCGCCCTCCAGCGCCTCCCGGGAACTTTTCCCAAGCCATTTGCGCCGAAGCGCCGAAGGCGTCTGCGGGACCTGGAGGTGAACAGCCTGAAGCGTTTCGTGGGGCTAGCGGCCATGGAGCCACACGACTCATTGGAAGGGGGGGGAAGGAGGGGGGGGGAGCGTGGGGGATGTCATTCAAATCCAACCCCAAGGGCACCTCCAACCCAGGCTTCTTACTCAATTCCTGGGTTGTATCCAAAAGCCAAGAATAGGGGCGGAGATTTGCACCTAGTTGTGATAGCGAGGTTGTTGTCGAAGCTTCATCAACTCAGGTTTGATCGTGGCTCATGTTGGTAAGACGCGTGGCTCCTCTTTTGGAGGCATACCCCTTTTGGCAGGAAACTCCAAAGATAGTCGGCGGGAAGCCGCACATTTGGAGACAATTCCCAGCAGCTTACAGTGAGGAGCCTCTAGTCCCCGTGGTTTTACCGGCTTTTTGCGGCGAGGGCCTTGTTTCAGCGTGAATCAGACTTGAAGAGGAGTTGAGCACCAATCAGGGTTTAAACTGCTATACGGGCCATACCCTTGCCCCCTTAAGGAAACCAAAAGCAAGTTGTTTCAAGATGTCGCAGGAGGGGCGGTAGAGGTTTTGACCAGGTTTCAGGCGCGGGGATTCGGGTGGGCGTTCGCAGGCACGGCTCAGGGTCTTGCCAGAGTCTGTTTTTCTCCAGGCAGCTGGGCTGGTCAGAAAAACATGGGCGGCTAGGGGGAAAAGGCCAATATGACTGTGGGTCAAAACCAATGGTACCATTTTGGTTGGTAGGTGAATTCACCACCCATTTTAGAACCTGTTTTAGTGGGGATTGAATCGGATGTTCACTGGGGGTGCGATTTGGATTTTGACCCATGGGCCCATGGCCATATCTTTTGGAGAGGACAAGGAGTGCACCCGCGCGCGTGTCCTCGCGCGCGCGCTTTGCGTCACTAAGGCCAGGGCCTTTTTCAATCGGTCGGCTGCTCAGAGGTGGTGGACGGCTGGGCCTGCCCGGGATGGCCCGTCAACCGCTGGTTGTGTTCAATTGTTGGGGTCAACCCCCTAAAGAGAGGACAAACCAACATCCCCTCCCCACTCAAACAAACACATGCAAAAAGAAAAAAGGCCAACCAAGAAGCAAACAAAATAATTTCCAAACACTCAAACAAACACATGCAAAAAGAAAAAAAAAGGCCAACCAAGAAGCAAACAAAATAAGTTCCAAACACTCAAACAAACACACGCAAAAAGAAAAAAAAGCCAACCAAGAAGCAAACAAAATAATTTCCAAACACTCAAACAAGCACATGCAAAAAGAAAACAAAAGGCCAACCAAGAAGCAAACAAAATAATTTCCAAACACTCAAACAAACACATGCAAAAAGAAAAAAAAAGGCCAACCAAGAAGCAAACAAAATAATTTCCAAACACTCAAACAAACACATGCAAAAAGAAAAAAAAGGCCAACCAAGAAGCAAACAAAATAATTTCCAAACACTCAAACAAACACATGCAAAAAGAAAAAAAAGGCCAACCAAGAAGCAAACAAAATAATTTCCAAACACTCAAACAAACACATGCAAACAAGAAAAAAAAGGCCAACCAAGAAGCAAACAAAATAATTTCCAAACACTCAAACAAACACATGCAAAAAGAAAAAAAAGGCCAACCAAGAAGCAAACAAAATAATTTCCAAACACTCAAACAAAAACATCCAACCAAGAAGCAAACAAAATAATTTCCAAACACTCAAACAAACACATGCAAAAAGAAAAAAAAGGCCAACCAAGAAGCAAACAAAATAATTTCCAAACACTCAAACAAACACATGCAAAAAGAAAAAAAAGGCCAACCAAGAAGCAAACAAAATAATTTCCAAACACTCAAACAAACACATGCAAAAAGAACAAAAGGCCAACCAAGAAGCAAACAAAATAATTTCCAAACACTCAAACAAACACATGCACAAAAAATAAAAGGCCAACCAAGAAGCCAACAAAATAATTTCCAAACACTCAAACAAACACATGCAAAAAGAAAAAAAGGCCAACCAAGAAGCAAACAAAATAATTTCCAAACACTCAAACAAACACATGCAAAAAGAAACAAAAGGCCAACCAAGAAGCAAACAAAATAATTTCCAAACACTCAAACAAACACATGCAAAAAGAAAAAAAGTCCAACCAAGAAGCAAACAAAATAATTTCCAAACACTCAAACAAACACATGCAAAAAGAAAAAAAAGGCCAACCAAGAAGCAAACAAAATAATTTCCAAACACTCAAACAAACACATGCAAAAAGAACAAAAGGCCAACCAAGAAGCAAACAAAATAATTTCCAAACACTCAAACAAACACATGCACAAAAAATAAAAGGCCAACCAAGAAGCCAACAAGTCATTTCCCAAGCGCCTCACCGAGTCCGAGAGGGACCGACCGATCCCTTCCCATGGCTTCGGATCCGCGGAAGACGAAAGCCGAGGCCTCGATCCCAAAGAGCTGCTGCTGGCCGCGGTCTGCGCCAGGGCCTCGCTCGCGACTCTCGCGGCTCGCGGTGAGCGGATGGGAGCGGATGGGAGCGAGGTTCTCGCGTCGGGGAGCGGGGGGCCCCCAAAACGGTGGGCTTCTCGGCAAGGCGAATAGAAAGGAAGTCGAGGTCCTTTTTGAAGGTTGACATACAATTGACAATATGTGTTTGTTCGTTGTTTGATTTTTAGGTAGGCTCTTGTTGATGGTTCAAAGAAAGCCGAAAGGAGATGCTCATGCTTTACTCGGTGGTTTCCTGGCAGGTGTCCCCAAACCACGATTCACTGAGCACCAGCGAGGAGAGTTCGATTTCCAGCCGTGGGCCGCGGGCCGAAGATTTTTTGTCTCGGGTCTTGAGTCGCTGTTCATGGCACAAAGGGAGGGTCCTTGAGGCGACGGTTTTCCCTTTCTGGTGAGCTGACGCCCCTGAAGGAACCTTGGCACGTTTCTGGCCGCTCAAGTTTTGATTCGAAGTTTAGGCACCTCATTTTGTGAACAACCCTCCCTCCTTTCCGATTTCAACGTGTGAGTGACTGGTACGGTTCCGCCAAAACCAGCCGGCCCTCCCACTGCGACCCCGGGGTCCAAGTCTTTGTGTCTTTGATCCGACCACAGACACCTGGGAGAGCAATCACATGGGCGAGTTCCGGAACCTGAGTTTGGAGCATGGGCGGTTCATTTCCCCAGAAGGGGTCCATTGACTTGTGGCTAAGCCAAGTAGTTGGGCCCCGCCCAAAGCCCCCAGGGCTGCAAGAGTCGAGTTCACCGCTTTGAGGGCTTGGGCACTTTCGGTGTCTCGCTCTTTCGGGCATTTGGGCCGGCGCGGAAGACGTGGCGACACGAGGCAAGCAAGTACAAGGCCCTGCCGCGCTTCTCTCGCGCTCTGCTTTGGAACAGCCAGGCGCTGCTTTTACGAGCGCGTGTCGTGTGTTTTTGAGCGTTGTCACCTTGGTTTCAAGGGAAACCGAAAGGACAAGTGCCCCCCTTGGTTTTGCGTGCGACTCGATCGTAGGGTGTGTGCCAATGTGGCAAACACGCCAAGTCTCTTTCTGGTGCACTGGGCCTGGAACAGGTGCAGACAAGCCCAGAAAAGGGCCCACAGCCTGGTCACAAGGGCTCCAAGCACTTGGAGCCCGTGAAGTGCTTTGGGAAAGGTGTTTCATCTGAGTCCCCTTTGAAAGGAACACGGCCTTGAGTCGGATGGTTTTCTCAAGTCCCCATGCTGCCACGGGCGGAAGCAGGTACATCCCAAGCTTGGGGTGACCTGTTCCATTGTTTTCTAAACACGTGGGATCCTTCTGGACGCCACACAGAAACATGGCCCTTTGGTGCAAGCGATCGGACCTCTTTTGTTTTTAAGAACCCATTTTTTTCAGTTCCACAGATCAACATGAAAATTCAACAAGGGCCCCAAGAGGAGCCATGAAACCCAAAAAGAGGCCCCAGACAAGCTATGAAACCCCAAAAAAATCGCCCAAGAGAAGCTTCTAAGGCGCAAGGTTCGGGGCTTTATGGTGAGTTTCTACGCGACCCCGCTGGGACTGCAGGAGCTCGCTCACCTGGTGGCGGATTATCGGAAGCCCGGGAGCCCGAAGGACGCTGCTGGGTGCTCGGTGCAGAAGGAGCTCGGTGATGGGAGGGATACGTCTGGTTAGACTTGACACCAAGGAAAATGAAGGGAATTGCACTGGAAGAGTGCTAAGTGATCCAGGTGGATCGATCTTTTTTCTGGTGACACCAGGGGAGATTGAGGGGATTGCGCTGCAAAAATGTGCTCAATGATCCAGGTGGATCGATCTTTTTTATGGTGAATGCCGAGGGAGAAACTGATGGGTCTCCTACCGATGGGATCCATGGGGGCAAATGGACGCGCGGAGTCGTCGCAGTTCGGATGTCACTCGGATGCGGCTCCTTTCTTAGGGGCGCATTATGGCAGGTTCGTGGCTGATAAGTGGGTGTCTCAGACCTGGATGGTTGGTTGGTTGGTTGGTTGGTTGGTTGGTTGGTTGGTTGGTTGGTTGGTTGGTTGGTTGGTTGGTTGGTCAAGGGAAGCCACAAGGAACACATCCACATTTTGCTGGTCATCTAATGCTTGCATCTCGTTGCGGGATCAACAATGGGCTTTGGGAATGAATCGTTTGGGGATGGTTCAGTTCGAGGTCATTCCAACTCCTTCCCTGTCTCAGCGGGAGGTGCCTCTGCACCTCTGCCCTCAAAGGGGGGGACTTTTGAGAAGCCCTCCACTAAGATGTGGGGATAGAAGCCATTTCTTCTTGGGCACCTTTGACTTTCCCTTTGACTTTCCTTTCAAACCCCCAAAAAGCAAAAGAACGCCGCGCACACACACACACAGATGCCCATTTGGCCATGGGTCATAATCTATGCCTCCATTTTGGGGCGGATGAACACCCATGCACCAGCGATTTTGCTGTTCACCAGGCGTGCAGGGTTTTGGGTCAAAACTAAACCACCAGAGGACAGCAGGTTTAGTCCAGGCTTCCATTTACCACGGTTCCATTTTGGGTACCTATTTTTGACCCACAGCCATTTCTTCTTGGGCACCCGGCTAGGCCCGTCGTCTGCCACCTCAGCGGCGTGGCCCACGACGGGGGCGCGGCCGGCGCCGGCCTGTCCTTGGACTCGGCGCTTACGGGGTTCGCAGAAGGGCGAGGTCTTGGGTTTCCCGAATTTTTCGTGTGGTTTCCCGTTAAAACCAACCAAAGAGGGGTACTCGCGAAAAGGACGCCAATTTTTGAATACGTGTTTTTCCTCCCTGTTGGCTTGAAAGGGAACTTGGCATTTAAGAAAATTCTTGTTCCTCATGGGCGCGTTCCGCTTCTGCCGAGCGCGTGCAGACGGTCGAACAGATGGAACATTTAGCATGTTTTTCCTCCCTGTTGGTTTTGAAGGGACCTCTCACTACTCTTTGTTGCATTTTGCTTGGATGTTGGGACTTCAACTTTTTGCCAACTAATGAGTTTTCCATTAAACCACTAAAAGTTAAACTTTTAGCAGGGGAGCAGAAAGCAACCGAGTACTGGAAATATTGTTTTTCTTTTTCCAGGGGACTTACAGAAGCAACTGGAGGTCCAGGTTCGCCACACATGGCCCAAAGCCAAACCCATGTTTACGCGGGGTACCCTCGGGCATGCTCAGGTAGCGATTCGATTTTTTTATGCCCAAAAGAAAGGAATGGAGACTACAGAATTACTTGGTCGGTTTCTTGTTGGTTTTCCTTAAAGGCAACGAAACCGGGGCACGCCAATTGCTTAAAGTAGAAGACCCCCAAAAAGGTTGGGCTCCTCGTTTTCCCGCAAACATCGGCCAAAACGGGCCCCCCCAATTCTGGGGCATACAGGGGCATGCGTCACAATGCCTGGTTTCTTGTTGCTTTGGACAGCCGGATGAGTCAAATTTTCATTAATTCAGGCATTAAAATGGTCCATTAAAAAACTTGTAATGCATTCAAGGGGTGGTCGCTCCTGTATGTGTTGGGGACCATGCGGGTTTTGATTGGGTGTGGCCTCTCCCTTGGCTTGCCTTCAAACCACCCAAGTGGCCTCAAAACAACCAGTGATACCGTAGATGGACAAAATCCTGCACCAGTTTGAAACCATAGCAAACCATTGTTTGTTGGTATTTACCGGGGAAGCATCACCGGGTTTCTTAGGTGGTGCGAAATGGATTTCGTCCATCCACAGGGCCCTTTGTCAAACTCGCCGGACCGGGCACAAAGATGGAGAGACGGACGTGGGCCGTCGCTTGTTCCTAGCAACCTGGGGATAATTAATTTCCCATTCAGAGGCGCTAGGAATCGCAGGATTCGGTCCCCAGGTTGTTGGGTTCTTGAACGCCTGCTCTGACACGGTGTTGCGGGACATCTCGGTCGAAAACCCCCCGAAAAGGAAAGGGATGGATTGTTTCAAAGCGGGGGTCTCCTCGAAGGTCGCCTTTTGGCTTGCCCTTAAAACTGTAACCCCAACAAAATTTGTCCCCAACAACACTCCAGCCAGTGGACACCTGAGGTTTTGCCACTGGTGCTTCACAAAACGACTTCCAAATCCTTTGGGACCACTGGGAGTTCGAGCAAACCCAGCAAGTCATTGGCCATTGGCCAACTGGGGTGGTCAAGTCATTCTTCTTGAGGGTCCCCTTTTTTTCTCCAGTGGTTTGAAAGGAAAACCAAAGGAAAAACAAACAAACGCGCGGCTTCTTTTTTTGTTGGGGGGGGGGGGGGGGGCTTTTTTTGTTGGGGGGGGGGGGGGGGAAAACACCAACACACGCTGCATGGCGCTTCGCATGGCGGAAAAATAAAACCATGTGCGCATGGCGAGGCTAAAACAACCCCCCCCTCCCATTTTTGGCAGAAGGCCCAAATCTCTCATTTGTTGGCAGAAGGGCAACAAGTATAATCCTAGGTCCCCCAGTAGTTCCCTTTTACCCTTTCGCAGGGGGAGGGTTTTTCTACTAAAATAGGCAAAACCTAAGAAAATAGGGTACCAACTTATTCTAAGCTGTATTCTAACCTCTCTACTGGAGCCCCAGACTGGCGCCTTACTCGCGGCGAGTTGTGGTGCCAGGCGCTCGCTTGCCTCTCTTCCTTCTCGGGGGCCTTCCACGACTCGGAACTGTCCGCCTGGGGCCCGGCCCGTACCCAAAATGGGCTACCCTGCTCAATGGAAACATGGAAAACCTGCGCTCTCCTGGTGGTTTAATTTTGACCCATACCCAAGTTGGTGGGGTGGTTCTTAAAATGGAGCCGCTGTAGGTTGGTAGGGAAACCAGAAGGAAACCAACTGTTTCAGGGTAGCACTTGCCTCAGAAAGGGCCTCGATGGGCTTTGGCTTCCCCTTCAATTCACCTTTGCACCAACCCAAAAAAGGGTACTTCGCCCCAAAACAAGGAGCCCTCAGCATGTCCAACTTCAATCGGACTCCGAGTAAATCATTTTGCAAAGTCACCGGACTTCAGGGTTTGCGAGTAATCGGATTTTGGGATTAAACCGGGAGGCCCTAGTTCAGTTGATTGGGGGGGTGTCCTCATTTTGGTGGGAATCTGGCCAGTTTGGGGCCCGGAAATCATTCCCTCCTTTTGATACGACGGCTTCTACTGAGATCCGTAATGTCCCACCAAGTCCAAGGTTCGGGCGTCGGGACCGAGCAAACCCTTCAGCTGTGTGGTGCCTCTTTTTTTGGGGGGGGACCCCCAACATGGCTTTTTCGGTTTTGCTTTTGGTTTCTCTTTAAACCCAGAAAAACGATTTGAAGCGCCCTCAAAAGACAGACCCACCTGATTGCAAGGTATGCCCAGAGGGGAAGGCGCTTGCAGCTTTCGAGTGGACCACAGTTTTGGGTGGTCGACTGAGGGGTGGCGTCCGCGAACTTAGGGGCCCCGTTTTGGATCAGGCTTCTTCCGGGAAGCCAAATGGGGGGCCAACCACTTTGGGCCGCAAAAAGTACATTTTCGGGCGCACCAACTACCGAACTGGCGAGCTGTCAGGCTGGTTGCCCACGTAGTTTTCTAAGTGTCCAATCTCCCTTACACTTTGACCATCAGCTGCAAATGCCTAACCTTTGCAACGCAATACAAGCAACCTGGGTATGTCTCAAAATATGAATACTTTCAAAATGGATTCCGCTTTCCTTTTTGTTTCCCCTTTAGCACCAACCCAACAAGTTCACCCACTCCAAAAAGAGGAATAGAGAGAGAGAGTGACCATCTCAACATAGGAATCCGAACCCCCCCAAATGAATCCCGGTTTTCTTCTGGTTTCCCCTTCTGATTTCCCCTTCTTGCCCCCTAAAAAGGGCACCTTTCTCCCAAAACCGCCACACCGAATGCGGTCTGCTCGATCGAAGCCGATGTGAGGTGAGAGCCTGCAGATATGGCATGGTGCCCATGGGGGGCATGACCTACGTGCCGGGAGGCCAAGTGGTCCGATGCCCCGCAAGCGGCGTCTCACGCGTGGCGCGGAGTTGAGCGTGGAATCGAACCGATGCGACGGGGGTGGTGGCCAGTTTGTTGATATGAACATGCCCAAAACCAAAGCAACCTCCGCTTTATTTTAGATATGTATGTGTATATATATATATATATTATGCACATAGAAAGCCAACGCCCAAAACACGAGCACAACACGGTCTACCTTGCCAAAAGCCAGAACATCGCAGGGCCCTCACCAAAAATCACCAACAAATCAGAGTGAACACCCATAAAGTTTGGTTCCTCACCGCAAGCCAGAAAGCGACACCCACAAAGACACAACAGAACGGAGCATTCCACAAACCACGCAGAATGCAGCATCTCAAAAAGAGCCAGAAAAGCAAACATCATCGTCCTCGCTGCAAACAAAGCCAATCGTTCGGATCGCCGGCCCTCATCAAAAAGCACACAAATACAAACCACACAATAGAAAAAAAGAAAGAAGACAACAAAAAACGGCCCACGGAGATCGCATGGATGGATTTCGCTTCGGTCTGCGAGGCTGGCCTCGCTGAAGTGGGAGCTGGGGGCCTTTCTGGCGCTCACCGGGTGGCCCGGCGCTGAGGAGCCGAGGGCCGTCCGCGCCGCAGCGTCGAGAAGTTGGACGCTGGGGTGTGGCGCCCTTGGGTCAAAATCCAAATTGTAGCCCCAGTGGTTACATCAACCAGTCCAAACACTAATATAGGTTCTAGCATGGGTGGTGAATTCGCCTACCCCAAAATGGGATCCCATTAGTCTTGACCCACACCCTCTTGGAGGTACCCCGGTTTTTGGGGCTGGTTTTGAAGGGATTCCCGAGAGGAAGCCGTGAATCGACTTCTTTGAAGGGGGTCCGAGTCGGAGTTGGCTCCACTTTAAGACTTGAAGCCGGCCTTCAAAGGGAACCAACAAGGAACCTTGGGGACTCCAAATGGATAGAACGAACCTGGATCGCCACTTGCTGCTTCTTTCCATGCACGTTGCCCCAAACACCAGCAACAGTGAGTGAAAAAAGCGATCGCAACTTGGCTGTCTAGGAAGGATTCAGAAAGGTTTCCCGGATCAACGTGAAACCCTAGGAGCCCCATGTCCAGGAGATTCCTGCAATGGTGACCTTTTTAATAAAGATGCCACTACAACGGGATCCTGAAAATGGGAATTTCCCTTTTGGCCTCGCAAAAACAGCACCCCCCCCCCCCGCAAAAGGGTACCCTAAAAACACAGATACCCCTATAATATACGGGCCAAACTAGTTTCTACTAGTTTGCCCCTCTCTGACTCTGGGTTTCAAACTGCACCTTTTTTCCCCTTTCGAATTCTTGAACGGTTTTCGGAAGACACAACCACCTGGCGGTTTCTCGTTTTGCCGCCGCTCCGTTTTGCGGGCCCCGGCCGTTTCGAGTCCCGAGCTCGAGGCCCATCAAAGGCGCGGAGCTGGTGGCTTTGGGTCTGGTGGAGCCGGGGCCCTGGCCGGCTTTGGGAAGGTGACGCTGGGCGCGGGGGTGGTTTGTTTTTGGAGTTCGGTGGGTTTTTGCCGGTGCGTGAATTGCTGGTTTTGGCTGGTTTGGGCATTTTTTTGGGGGGGCTTCTCAAGTTTATGTGGTCAGGCTGGTGCTCTTACTCTCTTTGACCATGGTCTTCTGTTGGTTTGGTGGTCTTCGTTCAGTTTGCTTTGTGCAATTTCCCAACAGCAACAGCCAGGGGGTTAAAAATCGCCAAGTGAGGCTAGGGGGGTGGGGACCCGCAGGGGGCCATTGGGAGCGGCCTGCTGAGCATTTTTCTAGACTCGTTGCCTGGTTGCTTGCGGCCTGCAGCGGGCCGTTTCTGAGTCGAAGTCTTCGACTGGTTTGAAGCTACAAGTCAGATGGCTAGGAATTGAGGGGGGACCCTCTTTAATGGAGGACCCCAAAACAATCGCAGGATCCTGAATTAGGAAGACACTTTCTAGAATGCAGGCCCGTATCATTAAAGGAGGAGCCAGATCGTAATTTTTAAGTCAAGTGATGTCCACCAACGGGTCGTATCCGCATAATTCATGGTGAGCTCACCCATTCGACGGCTAAAACTTGTGAAAGCCATAGATCCAACTTGCTCGGGCATCTCAATCTTATTTTAGGTTGAACCGTTGTAATTCTCGCAGGTCATATGTGCATTCCGCAGCCCTTGGCAGTGTCATCTTGGTTTGCCTTAGTTTTTTCAACAACAGGGCCGTGTCTCTTTTTGCGGGTCCCCCTTGTATATTCCCTTTACTGCCTAGGTCCCCCAGCTAGGTGCCCTTTCTCACCCCGTTTTTGGTTGGGAGGGTTCCCCGACTAAAATAGGTTGCAGACAAAAAAATCCGGTGCCCTTATTCCAACTCCTCTACTGGAGGAGCTAGTCAATTGAAGAGTTCATACTTGGTCATTGGGAAGGCCGTGCATCCAAGAAGTTGGAAGGCCATTCAAGGAGCTCTGGCTGCAAGTGAGCTTTTGGATCTACTAGAGGACCTGGTTGCAGTTTTTATGACGGACGCAACCGAAAAGGAAAAAAAACGACAATCCGAGGCACTGGCTGTCGCCGGAGGCCTTGCCCTTCCTGGAGCTCACGGCAGAAAAGCAACTGGAGGCGCTGCTTTTTTCTCCCCCCCCCTTTCTTTTTTTTTTGGGGGGGGGGCGGGGGAGTTTTTTTTTGGGTTTTTTGGGGGGGTCAAGGGAATCAGACGACGCATGTTTTTTGGGGGGGATTCGGTCTTTTGTTGGGGCCATGGGAATCTAGACGATGTTTTTTTCTTCCTTTTGTGTTTGTGGGATTCCTCTTATGTTCTTTTTGTTTTTCCTGTTTATGTTTTTTCCCGAAAGCATTGCGAAGGGTTCTTCAGGAAAGACCTGGAGCGGATTACACCAACAAGTATCACGAGCAAGCTGCGTTAGCAAGTAGCACTAGCGAGCTAGACCAGCAACATAGCACTAGCACTAGCAAGATGCACTAGCCAGTAGCACTAGTAAGTAGCACTAGCAAGCGGCGCTAGCAAGATGCACTAGCCAGTAGCGCTAGCAAGATAGCACTAGCAAGATGCACTAGCAAGATAGCAGCCAGTAGCACTAGCAAGATGCACCAGGAAGTTGCATTGGCATGTTACATAAGAGGTTGCTTCAGCTAGCTACAACAGCAAGTTGCACAAGAGATTTGCACGAGAGTGGGGAGACGTCTCCCGGGTTCTCACCTTCCGTTTCTTGACCTTGGCGCCAGGTCTCTGAAGCGGACGCGGCGCATCTCCTGCGCGAGCACTCCCTTCCGCTGCCGGAGGCGAGATCGTCGGCGTGTCCCACGTCGGCGTGCCCGGTTTCAGGTGGTTGGACTATGGCCATGGGTCAAAACCAATGGGATCCCATTTTGGGGTAGGTGAATTCACCACCCATTTTAGAACCTATTTTAGTGGGGATTGGGATGTTCACTGGGGGTACGGGCTTTTGACCCATAGCCATAAGAATACGAATGACTTCCTGAGTTTCTGGACTTTAAAAAGTTTGTTTTTCGGATAAAACAGACCATTTTAGTGGCAGCCAACAGGTTCGTGGACCTTTTTAGTGGCAACCGGACGTCTGGAAGATGCTTCCCCTTACAACCCCAGTCTGCCGGGCCCCGTGGGGCTGGGACATGTCCGAGCCGAACGGATCTGCGCTGTGGGAAACGGCCAGTTGGGGAGGCCGGGGAGGCGAGTTGGGATTGGAGTGGCATCCGAAGGAAGGATTTTTCAAAGTCGAGAATAGGTCGAAAAAAGACCTCGAGCGCAATGCTGGCTTTAACTTATTCGACATATTCCCATTGTAGCTCAGTTTGGGTGAACGTCGATGGCATTGGTTTCAATCATCACCATGGACATTGTCCAAAAAAACGGCCCTCACACCAAAGGAGCTCTTTTGGAAGCCCCCGAAATGCAGATGTGGGGATGGTCAACCTCCTGACCGAATCTTTGGGGCTGATGCCGGAACCTTGCGGTTGCTTATGTGGCTAGAATGCTAGATGCTTGGGGCTGTGTTTTTTTCCGGGTACCCTGTTTGGGGTCGGAGTTTAAAGGGGAAACTCGAGGGACAACCATTTTGGGTCTGAATCCATATTTTGCCGCACAGCCAACTATAAACGCAGACCACAAGTTTGGCTTCGCGCTTCACAAGCCCGTTCCGACCATTTTTCAGCTGAGCGAAAGGGGGTCCAAATCCAACAAGAAAGACGGCCATCGGCTGAAATTCTGATAGGTTACCGGGTTGAGCCAGAGATGTGAACCAGCAAAAGAAAGCATAGGTTGACAACGTGGTGACCCTTGTTGCTTTTCTTGTCGAGGGTCTGTCTGGGTTCGATGCCCCTTAGCTTTAAAGGGGAAGCCAAAAGGAAGCCCAGTTCTCCCCTCATTTTGCAAAAAAAAAAAAAAACGCATAGGGGCTGCCCAAGAATCCTGAAACGAGGGGGTTCCGCTTTCCTCGATCTCGCGGCCTGCGGAAAGAAAACCCACATCGACGTCGAGGGGTCCTTCCCGCTTCAGGACGGCGATCTGTTCCAGGTAAAGGAGGAGGGCAGTGGCTTCAAGCGAAGGCGAGGTCTGAGGGCATAAAGAAGCCCGACAAAGCTGGCAGCGTCTGAGGTGGTCATGGATTTTCGGGCCCCAAAGTACCAGGGAAGCAAGCAAATACCTTGGTGGCTCCCAGCCATCCGGTTCCTTGGCCTTTTCGCTTTTTGGTGGTTTAGTGGTTGGATTTCCACTCAGCCCACTAAAAGTGAGTCACTCTTAGCGGGAATTTCTGAGCCCAGATCTGATTGGTACAGAGATGGTATACAGATCTGATTTCTAGGGGTAGCGCGGCACGTGGGGCCGGGCGGTTTGGAGCCCGGTGGTTTGGAGGTTCGGTGGCTGAAGCCATTTAGCCTCAAGAATCAGGGGATTGAACCCCCAAAGCACCAATCCAGGCCGGCTAGGGGTTGCAACTGAGATTTGGAGGAGTCATTCTTGAACTGCCGCCGCTGCCGTCGCTGCTTCTGTTTCTTTGGCCGTTGCTGCTGTTGTATAGCTTTGACAATAGTGGTTCGACCTAGTTTCAACATGTCTTGGTTTTCTTTACAGGGAGCCACAGGTTGCAGAAGAGCACTGCCGGCTTTCTGAACCCTTTAAACATGGCTCGAAGCAGAAGAACATACCCCGTTACCTTTTTTTCCCCACTCCTGACCTCCATGGTTCCTCAAGTATCCCCTAGTGTGTGGTTTGGATCTGGATTGAGGGTAACTGGGGAACTGTCACCACCGGTCCAAACCACCGCTTTCAGAGGGAAGCTGAGCGGTTGCCACAAAAAAGACCAGAACCTAATGCTGTGAGTGGTGGGGTTTTTGGGGGAGTCCTGCTCACAGAGATAAAGGTAACAAAACAAACACACCTCGAAGAAAACCGTTTTTTTAACAACAACAAGAAAAAAGAAAAACGACACGCATCTTTTTTGTTTTTTGGTCGATGAGTTTTTGGTCAGGTACATCCCACTCATCGCGGAGGTCTTCGGGCAAGAGACGCTGCCCTTGATCCGGGAGGCTGGCGCCTGTTTCGTAGCGCGGGGTTGGCCTTTGGGGGGGGTGGGGTGGGGGGAGAAGATGAAAGTTTCAGCCAGTGGCGAGCTTGCGCTAGCCTTGTAGGTGAGGTCTTACCCAAACATTTGGACATGTTGAGCAAAGACATACCAATGCTCTTACGGGTTCCTAACAGGGAAGGAACTTGATTGGTGGGCACCCAAAACAACCCCTTGAATGGGTTGCAAAGGGAGACCAAAAGGGAACCAATGACTTGCTTCGAAGTGGTGGACCAAACCGTCCACATGCTTTTTTTTGGAAACCGGCATGTGGATGTGTCAGTAAATGACTCGAACCCCTGAAAAACGTTGGTGGCTTCGTTTCGGTGTTCCTTCGACTTGGTGGCTCACGAGTTCCCACGTCGCCTCACAACAAAAAGGCGGGCGTGGCGAGTCATTTGGCTGTGGTTGTCCAAAAAACCCCGTACCCCTGGTGAACATCCCAATCCCCACTAAAATAGATTCTAAGATGGGTGGTTCACCTACCCCAAAATGGGATCCCATTGGTGTTGACCCACAGCCACATTCCTCGGAGCAAACCAGTGACCGGTCAGTCAAAAAATCGGTGGTACATGGGTGTTCATCCAATGGGATCGCCATAGGTTGTGACCATGGCGAGTCATCTCTTGGGCGGAGGCGCTGAAGAAGGCGATCCAGAGGGAGCGCTTCTCGCAGAACGAGGAGTTCCTGCAGGACGCTTCGATTCGCTCGGGGGCACCGGTGCTGCGGTGGGTGGGTGGGTGGGTGGGTGGGTGGGTGGGTGGGTGAGGTGGGTGGGTGGGTGGGTGGGTGGGTGGGTGGGTGGGTGGGTGGGTGGGGAGGGTGGGTGGGTGGGTGGGTGGGTGGGTGGGTGGGTGGGTGGGTGGGTGGGTGGGTGGGTGGGTGGGTGGGTGGGTGGGTGGGTGGGTGGGTGGAAAAAGACGATGACCAAGTGGGAACACGCTTCAACATGCATTTTCGGGATCATATCGATTTTGAGGTAGCCACTGCCAGTAAAGGATCATGTCAGTCTCCATATTTGTTTTTGGTTTGCTGGTCTGGATTTGAATTGGAACCTCCTGCTTTCGAAAGAGGCAAATGGGAACTGCTCCTTTTGCACCTCCCAAAGGCAAACCACCTTCTTTGAACAGGGAAACCAGCCGTTTCTAGATTTCATTGTTTGAATACCGCCCATTTTACAGGGACACCGGCCCTTTTTCGGGAGAGCATTAAACAACGCAACGACTGATCCATGTTACCGAGACGTGTGAAACGAAGCTCGCTGGCCAGTTTCGTTTTGAATTCAGCGTCTGGGAGGCTGGGGCCGAGAAGAGGAGCGATTCTCGCCAAGAACAGACAGGTTTCGTGCCAACCCCCCGTCAATTCGCATGGGTCTGTCTTGTTTTTTGAACCAACCCCTTTTTTTTTAAAGAGGGATTCGAAAAGGAACCCCACCGTCCCCTGAAAAAAAGAAAAAAACAACACATCCAAGTGAATACTTGGATGTGCGGCCAAGTTAGTAAGCGGCTACCCACCTGGGTCATAACCCAGTAACAGGGTGAACTCCGGACTTATAAGTGGGTTATCAGCAGGGTTTCGTTTCTGAGCGGTAACAAGGACTCCCCTACCCTTGTTCTCCTTGAGGTCACATGCCGTATGATGGTTTGCTTGTCAGACCCGGTGCCCACCCAGTAGCTGCAGCCCAATTCTAGGCCTTTGCCAAGCTGCGAAGGCACCTCAGCTGCAACATGATGCAGCCCTAACCCCTGAAACCAACCCTCAAATCCAGTCCAAACTCAACCATCTTGCAGACTCCAACACACAAACCTCACAAAGCTCTGAATGCTCTCGGCACCGGCGAGCGGCTGGCGTGCTGGTTGGGCCTAAGCAGCCCAACTCCTCGGCCAAGCTTAACCGCACAAACCAATCTTTACGGCCACCCGGCTGTGGTTGTCAAAACCAATGTGATCCCATTTTGGGGTAGGTGAATTCACCACCCATTTTAGAACCTATTTTAGTGGTTGGAGCGGGGGATGTTTACTGGGGGTACGGGCTTTTGCCAAATCACCACCTAAAGCAACACCTGAATCTCAGCCAAGTCTTAGCTTGCCTTCAGTGATTCAGACAGCCCCCCCCATCCCAAAACCCTTCCCCAGCCCCGAACCCCCACAGCGTGGTCTCCCAATAGTTTTTATGCGACAAAGTCATTGGATTCCTCTAACACTCCCAACATGGGTACCCTTTACAAAACAGACTCACCCATTTTTTCCAACGCGACAAGTGAGGGAAACACAATGCAAGGGCCTGCCGCGCGTCTCGTTCTCCCTGCCAGGAGTGCGAAAAAGCGCTGGACCAGGTGGATGACCGTGCTGCTTGGACGACGCGGGGCGCTTGGATGACTTGACAATCGGAAATGGGATGCAAGGCTTCAGTCCAAATATCCTTGCAGTGCTTGTTCCGTTTCTAAATGGTTACCCTCCCACTAACTCGCATGTAAGAGCTTAACGATCCTTTTCATGTTGAAAGTAGTTATGCCATGTTCGCTCGGAGGGTGCCCTTTTTGCTGCGGAGGTATGTTCAGCAGCTCAGTATCTTGCGCAAGGATCAGATCGCAGCTCACCCAAAAACTGACCACCTTGGTTTGCTCCGAGGAATGTGGGTCTCTGGAATATTTTTGAGGGTAATTACCCATTAGGTATTAGATTTGACATTTTGAAGGCAATCCAACGGGCTCTCCAAAACGGATGGTCTTGACGCTTTTCCTTGCGGAGGAAATGGTAAACACATCTCCCCATGCCGTGAGACCACCTGATGGATCGATCGGAGCTTGGGGAAAGTTTTTTCAAGTTTCTTCGCCAGGGACCCGGAGGGACGTTAAGTGAAGATTCCCATGACCACCACAAGGGGGTTTTGGGGGGGGCGTTTTCATAGGTAAGTTTTCAACATGGTTTTGTCTTTGGGTTTTGTGGCAAACAGAGCCCAAGAAAGAATACCCTCCACAAAAGGAGTTCACCAGAAGGATGCCCAGGATAGCCAAAAGGATACCCAGAAGCGTGCCACAAAATTGGACACCCTCCCAAAGAAGACACACCTGCACCCTCCAGCCTCCAAGGCTGCGGCTGATCCAACTGGCGCAGGCAGAACAGGCGCCCGGTTCGAGCCGCAATCCACTCGGGGGGTCCGGGTGAAGCGAAACGCAGCTCGGATCGGGGTGAAAGGGAAGCCAAAAAATAGCAACAGGTTGAAGCCCTTGGCTTCTCTTTTTGGTGGAATTTACTTTTGAATAACAAAGATTGAGGGGCAGAAAGTGAGTGGCTGTTGCATTCGTCTTTTTTTTGATTGCTTCCTTTTGTGAGTGCTTTGTGAGGGAAACCAAAAGAAAACAACTGCTTCGGGAGTATCCTGCTTGAATACCTCGCCTTTCTCAAAGGAACTCCGCTTCAAGCTGCGAGCAGACCGCTTGTCTTCCAACAAATGACCAACAATCAGAACCCGGGTAGATGAAGGTTAGTAAGGGACAATCCCAACCATAAACAGCTGCGGCCGCCTTCTTAATTCTTGAAGCTTGATTATGACTCAAAGGACCTTGATGTACCCAGACTCACATGGAAGCGGCAGTTCGGTTCGCACTCTCCATCCCCGTGGGCATAAAGATGGTTGTCATGGCCATTTGCTAGGGGAAAGGTTGTTGTTCCTGGAATGGACTCCCTTTCAGTTGCCCTTGGCATTTCCTGACATGAATGGGAAGGATCTTGTTGCCAGCATGGACAGAACCGGGTGGCCCTCTTCTGCTTGGATCTTTGCCCTCACGCGCTTTCTTGGATCCTCCATATGGCTGTGGTTGTCAAAACCGTTTTGGGATCCCATTTTGGTTGGTAGGTGAATCCACCACCGATTTCAGAACCTATTTTAGTGGGGATTGAATCGGATGTTCACTGGGGGCTAACCGGGCTTTGGATTTTGACCCATGGCCATAGGTGTTTCAGCGGCCAAAAGGCAGTCAAGATCATTCAAGCATTTGGAGGGGTCCGGATTTTTTCCGAATCTAGCCCCTTGCAGGTTGGGGTCTTTCTGCCGACACGTGCCACTGAAAGAGCCACAGGAAACCACACATTGTGGACATTCCATATCCTTTTGGAGGCAAACCCATGTAAAGGCAAGGTGTACCTGTGAGAGGACCAACCCCCCCCTTGTTTCCTCCCCACCAGCCCGAGCAACCCGAGGTGAAGCACCGAAGGCCTGGACATTTGCTCGCTGCTCGCGTGAGAAGCGGTGAGAAGAGCAACGGGGGGCACCCCGAACCGAAGGAACCCCGGTTCGGAACCCCCGAAGATATGGCTGTGTGTCAAAACAAATGGTACCATTTTGCGGTAGGTGCACCACCGATGTTAGTCTATTTTAGTGGGGATTGGGATGTTCACTGGGGGGTACGGGATGTTGACCCATGGCCATATTTCGGACACCCCCTTTAAAAAAAGAGAGGCGTGCTGGACCCCAAAGGCCCGGAAAGAACCTGAAGGACGGAAGAAATGTCGGGAATGGTTCCCGGGGGAATGGAACTGCTCCTTAAGCGAGACATCATGAGCTCGAATGGAACTAGCAGAGCAGTTCATTGGAGTGCGTCTTCTTGTGAAGGTTACGGAGCTCATTTGGGCCAAGTGATCAACTCCGCTTTCCAGCTCGGGAAAACATCCACCCATCCTCTTGCGACCCTCTACTTGTCACCAATGTCCAAGTGACGACTCGATTCTCATCACCAGAACGTCATGAGTTTGTCACTGGAAGATCAGCTTTTCGGGGCTGGTTTGGTGATTTTTGTTGGCTCCCCCGAAAACTACCGTGCAGTGAGGTCGATCCCTTTGACTCCTTTCCAGCTCAGGAAAGCATCTAACCATCCTCTCACGAGCCCTCTACGTGTGGACAGGGTTCCAGGGGTTGATCCCCACTTCTGCGATACAAGGGAATCCATCCCTTCTTTAATATGGGGGGTTAGTCAAAAAGGGAGGCCCTTTGTGTTGTATCACAACAGTGGGAAAGAGTGTTGGTCTTTTTCTTTTCTTTTTTTCTCCTAGCCCTGGCACAGGGCTAAAGCCAGGGCTATGCAAAAGAAAAACACACCTCAGCCACCAAAGTGCTGCCATAGGCTCGAAACCGGCAGACAAATCCTTACAGAATCGCCTTCTTGAAGGTGGTCTAGTGATTCTTACAACTTCAAGATTTACATACGTAAAGTAATACATATATATATATATATATAATGTATATATACTGACCTCACTATTTAACCATGATCAAAGTCACCTCCTAAGTGATGGGTTAAAGGGAAACAACCCCATTTGCTGACTTTGATAACCCCTAGAAACGGTCAAAATAATGACCCCAGGTATATAGTATATATATATATATATAGATTTATATTACACACCACAGCCCAGGTGGGTCCAAGACGCCAAGGCCACCGCCAGGTCCTCGCCCAGATCGCCCCGCGCTCGGGCTGAATGCCACGTCTCCCGCCGGCTCCGATCGCTGGCGACCGGCAGACCGGAGACGCGTCTTGAGCCCGCGGGTCGTGTGGGTGGCCTTTTGGTCTGGTTGAGGGTAGCCTTTTGGGCATCGTTTTGTTGAAGGTCGCTTCTTCTTTCTTCTTTTTTACGCGGACACCAACACAAAACCCATTTAAATGTTGGGGTCCCCTAAGACGCACACACACAAAAACACCCACCATGGACAGTGCGTAGGGTTGCTGGACGTTTTCCTTCACAAGAGACTCTTTGATGTTAGGGTGGACCCCTGATTGTCGCCATGCATTACTGACAGAAACCAACCACTTGGAGAGGAACTTGCTTTTGGACTGCGGAAGTGATCCCAAAGGGGTGAACAATCTGGATTCAGGCTATTCCCCGGCGTTTGACCATCAATGTGCACTTCTTGATCGATCTTGATTGGGTTTGTCTTTCATGTTCTGTGGAGGAAGCTCACTACATCCACTTGTTCACCAGCATATCTAGTGCTACCTCCTCATCTTCAAGCCCCGTACTTGTAAGGAGTGTCACACATTTTGCTGGTGCTTTCACACAAACCAGCACCAGGAATCTCTACAGAAAATTGGCCAGGCACCCACCAAAACCCAGGATTTCCTGTCGCTGGTTTCTTAGATGCTTGTCAAATTTTCCCGGGGCGCTTGCAGGAGCAACCGGTGCCTCCCTCGGTCGGCCGAACGCGCGGCGCAACCGCGCTGCGCCTAGGTGGGTGAATCCCGACATCCTCGCCTCCGTGTTGAGGCGATACTCGTGCAATCACCTGGGGGGCGGGTTTGGTGAAACTGTCAAGTGTACCCATCATGAAATTGCAAGAGAAAACATGACGACAGTGTTTACAAGGGAAGCATGCTTTGCTCGGGTCATTTTGCTCATAATTCTTAGCTCCTTGTTTCCTGCGGAGCTCAGGTGCAGATCTCTTGCTAGAGCTTGGCCTTCCAGTTGTCTTTGAACCAGGAACCTGCAGGTCATTCTTCAGGAACCCTTCGTTGGTGCTTTGAATTGGTGGGAATTGGGGATTTGAAGCCCTGGTTATGTAGAGGTAAATGGGAACCTTGAATCCACCAAACCAAACCACCGAGGGAATCGCTGAAGGATTTCGCGACCCTGCGAAAGCTGGCTCCTTTGTTTTTGCGTGCTTTTGTTCTGGCCTCTGTTTTTCGTGTTTGATTGATTGTTTGTTTGGTTGGTTTGTTTGCTTGCTTGCTTTCTTGTTTGCTTGTTTGTTTTGTTGCTTGTTGGTTTGTTGGGTTGACTGCTTGTTTGGTCGGTTTGTTTGTGTTTGTTTGGTTGTTTTGTTTTGTTGAAGCTGACGTGTGCTTTTGGTTGCATCTGTTTCTCTTGCTGCGCGCTTTGCTTGTTGAGCGCGGAGATTGTCGAGATGTCAAATCTTACCATGGACTGCCTTGCAGTGTACTCACCAGCAAAGGCCAGCAACACTTTTTGGCCTATCATGACCGCCGCAGAGGATCTTCTTCCATTTGCCTAAGACCATTTTTTAAAACAAAAATCCCCTGGCTTGTTTTTCAGGGAATCTATTACTACTGGACACATCTTGGGAGCCATGGCTTTGGCCTTCGGATCGCTTGCGGGCCAGGCGCGAGCTCTGGGCGCAGCAGGAGTTGCTGAAGCACCAGGAGCGGCGGCTCGGTCCGTTTTGTGGGTGAGTTTTTGGAGAACAACGCGGGTGGGTGGTGTTTTTTCTTCTTCTGGTTGCTTTGGACACCCAACATGCGTGGCTTTTCTTGGTTGTTGCTGTGTTTTTTTTTGGTTGGGTTTGGCTCAGAATGGCAAGAGCTGGGGAAAACCGCAGGTCTAGGTCTTGGTTTCCATTTGGGGGCCGAAACTGGGTACATCTTTTTGAGCCACACCCAGATGGCTTGTTTTTTTTCTTCTTTTTCTTCGGTTGGTTTGGACACCCTAAATGGAGACCACAGAAGAAGCGAGGAGGAACAGGTGTGTCAATATCGGGGACCCCAAAGAAAGGATGTGGGTCGTCCTCTTGGCTTCCCTTTGAAATCACAAAGGGGGACCCTTCACCTCACAAAACGAACATCGAGCCAGCCCAATGGTGGACTTTCATTTGCGATTCCGAATATTTTTTTATTTGCCCCTGTTGGTTTTAAAGGGAATCTGTCACTACATATGTTTTTTCCCCCCAACAGCTGAAAGCTTTGGGGTCTCAGCCCAGATAGGCTCCGGGGTGGTCCGGGGCGGCCCCGAGGCAAGATTCCACGAGGGTTCCACCAGGGTTCCACGAGGTTCTGCGAGGGCTGTGGGGCGGTGCGAGCACTAAAAAGAGCACCGCATGCTGTTGGGGATATCACCTGAGCTTTTTTCTTCTTCTTTTTTCCATGTGAAAACGAGTTTCAACCGTCAAATGTAGAGTGACGGACATTTACCCAGAACCATTTTTTCAAAACGCTTCCCCAAAACACACTAGCAAAAGTGCTTCTAAGCTTCAATTTGCAAATTTGACTTACAACAATCTTACCAAATAGATGCCAATTAGGCAAACACTTCGAACAACTCTTTCGCACCATGTCATTCTAATGCCATCAGGATGTTCCTCATACTGGATTCACTGAATCATGCAGGTTCTGGAGGACACGCAACACATGTCAGGACCTGGCAAGGCCACCCGTGAATGCGGCCTTCGTTTGCCACGCGACGCTCACTTGGCCCGAGCAAGATTTCGGCCAATCTATTGGGCGAGACTGGTTCCATGGCGGGTGGTACCAGTCACGCCGTGGATTGTCTACATATGCCTACGCGCAGTTTAACGTGATTGACACTCCGCGTATCAAGGAACACCATCGTGGTACAGCTAGAAGTTGGCCCAAGTCAGGACCATTCCGAACCACTTGGAATGCAGTTGTTAGATGTAGGTGAGTTTATTGAGTGGCAAAGGTCCCACCCGCTTGGTGACGATAATTGTTGGTTAGATGATGCTGTTGCATTTCAACGATCGTGAGGCATGGTCATAGGTCTGAGAACCACTTCAGCTCATAGAGTGGCAGCGATGCCAGGCGAGCGTCTGCAGGATATTCGAATATCAGGTGATCTAATTTTAGTGAATGTTTAGAGTGATTTCATGTTAGTGCTTGCGAGTTTCGAATCGCAAATGGTTCTAAGTAAATGTCCGTCGCTCTAGTTCTTGAATGTAGAATGTAGAGTTGGTCGCGGCTTGCGTAGACGTGAACTTTCACAACAAGGTCCTTAACAAATACACGGATGAGGGTGAGAAAGAGGCGCTTTGAGAAGGTGCAGGTCATGCTGCTGATGCTTGCCAAATTGATTGATTCGCAAGAAGCGTCACAGGTATAGGTGTCATCGGAACACCTGCCCCTGTTGCTGCGGCTGCCTGCAGCGTGGCGGGAGGAGGATGGTACGGTTATAGAGTGCGCGAAGCGCGCCTCCCACACTGACATGTCCTCAGCAATTTGGCGACAGGCTTGTTGCCTTGTCCTTAGAGGAGGGGCTTCATCGTCAAAAATGACGATGAAGACTCGTTTGTCTCAGAGCAAGACTTCTTCCTGCTCTACGAGCCATTCGAAAACTTCGTACGCAGCGATGTGATGCACTTTGCTGACCGGCCCAAGGACGCCGGAACGTACTTCAGCATCTTGGCCACAATGGGCACAAAGCAGCCCGATCTGACTGGGCCACCCTGGTTTACAGCTTCCCACAATGCTGGATGTTAGCTTTTTGTGCTCTGCGTCAATACCCTCCCGCAGGCTAGCATGAAAGCTCCCTCAAGGGTAATTACACTTCTGGCCAATCCTTCGATTCAACAATGCATATATTCCATTGGACACTCAACTTGGCTTGCTGCCTGAGTGGCTGGAGATAGTTGAGGGAGCAGACAAGCGGTCATTGGGATTCATGTCTTGCAACTCAGTATCCGTCACCCGCTGCGAGTGGCCAAGCCCTCGATTCAAAGGCAGTGCTGAAGCGCTTGAGGACGCCTTCCAGTTGGCCACTTGTTGTGCTTGAGACAAGATGAGGAAGGCAATTTTCAGGCCGTTGGTCTTTGCTGCTGTGCCTACGCTGATGTTCAGCGAGCTCAGTACGGTGAAAGCGGTGGAAATCAGACTGGGCTGTTAGGTGGTCGTTACCCGGTCGGCGGCAACCTTTTGACCTATGTCCGCAAAATGGAGGATTCGGACTCGGATCTTTTTCACATCTTGCTGGATCGCCTTCAGCAGCCACCTGATCATACTTGGCAGCCCTGTTAATGTCGGACCCTGTTTAATTGCTGCGTCCAGCCCCTGCAAGCAGTCAGAACTCTAAAAGCGCCTTGCCCTGGAGGGGCGCTGCCCCGTTGAAGGGACCCTTCTTTAAGCACAGTTTTGACCAGCTGTGGCCTTTGGCAAGCCAAGTTGTTCAAAAGTTCCATTACAAGTTATGACTGGGATCTTTGGCAGACCCGAGGCTCCTGGACCTATGCAAGCCCTGCGCCTTTGAGGGGGCTCAGATGCAGACACGCAGAGTGTGTGAACCAAAGAACCAGAGCAACAAAACACCAAAATCATGTCAGGCATGGATGTTTTAAATGCGCGTACTTGTAGAATGACCCGGGTTCAGATGCAACGTTGGAACAAGTATCATGGATAAAAGGACACTGCTGAAAGCATGTGTGGGCTTGTTTCCTCGCTTTTGCTTTGGGGAGAAGCTGGCTATTAAAGCTGTCCGCTTTAGCAATGGTGGTGAACCTGTTTAAGGAAAACCCCTTGCTATCGAAGAAACCACCCTCACATGAAGAGCTTCTTTTAATGGTCGACCTAGAGAGTTGGTCCAATTTCAAAAAAGCCGGCAGACCTCTTCGGACTGCTGGCCTAGATTTGGGTGTGTCCTTTTTCAAGGTACCCACTTGTCTGCAGTTGGTCTCAAGGAACACCGAAATCCACTGGGGGGTCCCCTAAAACAGGCACACCCATTTCAATTCTTAGGCGTTTCGAATATCAGCAAACCTTCTTCCCTACTTGACCAGCGTGTCCAAACTACCAAAAGGGCTTTGGTAGATGGTTCTACTTCCTGGATTCATAAGGGTTATATAAATCTTTACAGCCATGTTAGTAGAACCAAACAACAATGGGTTTTGGTGGCGGCTGACTCGAGTTCGGGGAAATTCTCGAAGCGCAGGATGCGCCCAAGAACCTCCATGCGGCGATCACAGACTCTTTGGACAGCAGGCGGGTTTCACTGCGCAACGTGCGCGCAGCAGTTGCTTCTTGGAAAACATGGTGGGAACCGGCACCCCCCTCGCAAACGAGGAATTTTCCTTCTTATCTCAACGATTTCCAGCCAGGTACCGATTTTTCCTCAACTGGTGTGTCGACTCCAGTTTTTGGTCGCCAAGTCTTTGCGGTGTGCTTTTGTTTGGGCGACCTGATGCCTGCTTGTCACTTGCGTTGTTTAAGGCACGTGTTGCAGGGCAGGGGACAGCGTGAAATCTGGCCCAACAACGGACTCACCATTTTCAGAACCAAAGGTCAGCAATGTGGGAGTTTGGCTCAGCACAGGATGGTCACCATTTTCAGAACCAAAGGGCGGGTTTAGACATAAGACTTTGCGTTGCAAAACTTTAAGGGATTAATCCACTGGACCTTATCAGGAGGTTTCCAGCTCAGTCCTTGTCAACATGGGGGTCTCCCCATGGATTTGTCCAGTCATTTTAGGCAGAGAGGCAACATCCCCAGCATCAGCATTATTTGCGTTCAGCTTGGCGCTGATCAGTCACATAAAGCTTGCGTGGCCTGCCTAACACCAGATCTGGCAAAATGATGCTGGTGCTGACACAGCGCCAATTTAATCTCAAGGGGAAGTCTAGCATCACCTGAAGAGGCTTGTCCGCTTCCCAACTCACCCACTTTCCTCCTTTTGATTGCCACAATTTCATGATCGACGTTGCTTTGGGGCTTTTGACAGATTTCAATTGAGATTCCGCATCTTCCCCATACCGACCCATTAGTTTTGGAGTCTTGGATGCGAAATCTGTCAGTTCAGCTCACTTGATGGTTGGTCGTTTGAAGCTTCGGAGAGGCGCCAAGCTCCGATCTGCGCGGGTCCGCTACGTGCTCCAATGTTGCAATCAACCTACTTGCTCTTCTGACGTACGGCGTGCCTTGGTCCGAGTCCGGAGCCCCCGGCTCACTCCGCTGACATTATCATGTCATGTTACATTGCCTGTGGTTGTATGGTGTTAAACATCTTCTTTTTTTAGTGTCATGTTAGATTCTATGATCTTATGTTGTATATGGTATGTGCCAGCTTACCTTCATTGGACGCCTGCAGGCAAGGCGCGCCGAAGCAGCGAAACCCGAAGCTGCTGAAGGAGGACATCGCAAAGGTGGGGGGGGGTGGTTGAAGGCGCGTACGGCGAGGCTGAACAGGTAGATGGGGTATAATGTCCCGAGTCGGCCAACCCCAATCCCAGTACAAAAAATAGCCTTGACTATAGCGCAGGTAAAGTTTTGAACATGGAGGGGCTGAGTTTTTCGATTCACCGATTTGGAGGGCACCCAAAGGTAGCGAAGATTTCACAAACGCAACGCCCACTCGAGTTTTTGTTTATCCTTTTTTTTTGGGGGGGGGGCACGAGGCATGGGCAAACCCCATTGGCACGCGGCGGAATTTTCCGCGTTGAAGGTGCCTGCGACCAAAGAAACCAACGTCAAGCTGCACAGGGACACCAACAATCCATTTGGTTTTTTCATCGGCACCCCCGGTGCCACTTGTGGCCCTTCGTATGCGCCCTTGGCATTTGTTGTGAGTTGTGGCTGGGTGATATGACTTCCGGGGGCTCTACAAAGTCAGACACTTGGTTTCCCTGCAACCCGCCATTGAAAGGCCCAGATCAACCTTCAAGATCTGGTTTCCAGAATGGGGTGTTCCTCTCCCAGAAAACTGCGGTTCGAACATGTTTCTGCACATGTCCACCAAACATGTTCCCTCATGCAGAAGCTCCGTGTTATTTTTTGGAAGGGAAAGACTCCGATTGCTAGTGGCTTGGGTCTGGCACGGAAAAACCGGAGGCAATGCTGAAAAGGCCAGGACCTGGGTCTCCGGATAAAACCGCGTTGGCGGCTTTCTGGGTGTTTCTTTAGCTCCAAGAAAGGTGGGTGTCCTCAAAGAAAACGACACTCCCCATGGTTGCTGTGAGGAAAAAGTGTTTTTCCTGAAGCTTGAGTGGTGAGGGGCTGGCATGTTGGATTCTCTTCAAACAAAATCGGGGGGGAGGTTTAGCTAGGGATTTCGCTGGTCGCCCCGGCGTCCGGACCGACCTTGGTGCTCCTTCCCGCCAACAAGCACGTGACAAGTTGGAGTAGTGGTCCCTGCTGGTTCACGATTTGCAGCTACTTTAGAGGGTTAGTGGATCGTATGGCTATGAACTTTAATGGGACCCCCCTGAAAAGTGGTTGGATCATCAATCCCCACCGAATTCTGATGTCCACCATTTCGGGCTCCCTAATGTTGGACCTGGACCTCCTTTATTAATAATACTCTCTGTGGAAAATATTTTTCTAATTCAGATTCGTTGGACTGTTTTAGGGTTCTCTATTGTGGACAGTTTTTTGCCGGAAACAACGCTGGGAAAAATATGGGCAAAAACTTGGCAAACAAGTCGGGCAAAAAAACGGGCAACCAAATCCTGGCAAACATTGGAAAACTGTTTTCTTAAAGTGGTCCCCAAACCATCACATTTAAGATAACTTCTTTACAAAAAAGTGCGGGCAAACAGTCACACAAAGGGAGGTGCCCACAAGAGGCCCAGATCCTCTTTAATGCGACTGGTTTGGGGTCCTCTTTAGTGTCCAACTGGTTTTGGGGGTTGTTGAAAAAACGACCCTTGGCAATACTAAGGTAGAATTGGCAATACTAAAGTAAGTACTGGGGATCTGAGAGTCAGCCTTGGCAATACTAAAGTAGAATTGGCAATACTAAAGTAAGTACTGGGGATCTGAGAGTCAGCCTTGGCAATACTAAAGTAGAATTGGCAATACTAAAGTAAGTACTGGGGATCTGAGAGTCAGCCTTGGCAATACTAAAGTAGAATTGGCAATACTAAAGTAAGTACTGGGGATCTGAGAGTCAGCCTTGGCAATACTAAAGTAGAATTGGCAATACTAAAGTAAGTACTGGGGATCTGAGAGTCAGCCTTGGCAATACTAAAGTAGAATTGGCAATACTAAAGTAAGTACTGGGGATCTGAGAGTCAGCCTTGGCAATACTAAAGTAGAATTGGCAATACTAAAGTAAGTGCTGGGGATCTGAGAGTCAGCCTTGGCAATACTAAAGTAGAATTGGCAATACTAAAGTAAGTGCTGGGGATCTAAGAGCCAGCCTTGGCAATACTAAAGTAGAATTGGCAATACTAAAGTAAGTGCTGGGGATCTGAGAGTCAGCCTTGGCAATACCAAAGTAGAATTGGCAATACTAAAGTAAGTGCTGGGGATCTAAGAGCCAGCCTTGGCAATACTAAAGTAGAATTGGCAATACTAAAGTAAGTGCTGGGGATCTGAGCCAGCCTTGGCAATACCAAAGTAGAATTGGCAATACTAATGTAAGTACTGCCCCTCCCGGACCTCCAGCATCTCACCAAGAGTCCCCCCGACTGGTTCCACAGGGGGGGGGTCACACTAAAGAGAGTCCAACATGAATTCCAACTCCTGGCCATATGGCCGAAGAATTCCAGTCGCTTTCTCCGACGAGGGCTCCAACCCAACCCACTTAAGAGAGAGTCACTTGGGACATCCGGAGCGCCGGGGCGGAGGTGGCGGAACCCCCGAAGGACGCGGTTGCTCGGGGTTGCCACGTGAGGGGTGTTCTTTCTTGGGTGGACACGAAAACCTGCGCAGAGAAAACGGCGGAACCCACCCCGGAAGTTTGGGGCGACCGATTTGTTTGGGATGTTTGAGGGTTCAGGTATCCTTTTCTGGGCGGTTTGGAAGGGAATCCAAGAAATCAAGGAAAATTGCCATTCTTTCTGACGGGTTGACACATTGATTTGGCTACGGATGTGGTACTCGACTCCTTTCAACGGACCACTTTCGGCGCCGATCCTCGGGATGGCACAAAATTTGAAGGCTGGGCGCGGCTCGGCCGCCTTTTTGTAGCATTGTCTCGGTTCTCCAAAGCGAATCGACCTGTGAACCTTTTGGTTTCCCTGATTTGGGTTGACAAAAAATAGTGGCCCCAGAAGGTGATCGCCTTGTATTTCCATGTCCCTTAAGGGGTGGCTGAGCGTTGTTGGGCGTGAAATGGCCATGAAATATGATTTTCTGGGTGAATGTAAACTAAACGGGGATGGATATGTTCTGTTTCTTCGGCAGAGGCCCTACAGTGGCACCCTGTCGTAGCTTCCAACTTTGATGGGGTGAGGCCCCAAACTTGGGGGAGTTTCAGCTCGGCGTCGGCCATTGGCTCTGCATCTTGCGGATGTTTTTTGGGTGTGGTTCAATGTTGTCGGGAACCCGAGCATGGGTGGGTATTCTAATTGGTCTCCCTTTGAAGACCCGAAGAAAAGTGGTACCCCGAAAAGAAAGACGCACCCTGAAAAAAAGACGCACCCTTTTGGCGGTTTCTAGCAGCCACATGTTGGAGACGCTGGCTCCTTTTTGCAGATTGTGACATTGAGAGGCATCTTGTCCACCTTCTCCCCTACTTGTCTTCTTTGCAACCTCCCAGGGATTTGGTTTCAAACTCCACTTGTGTTTATTGCATTTTCCAGCTACCAGGACTTCATCTTCGCGATTCCCGAGCGCTCGGAGATCTCCTTGTCCTCGCATCCCAGACTGAGGCCATGCGAACTGGTTTCCGCAGAGCGGAGCTCACCCCCCGAACACGCGTCCGCTTTTTGCGTCACCTCGGGGTTTCCCTGCACGGAACGTCACCAGACTCGCCAAACGCTGGGCTCTTTCCTCGGTTTCCCTTTGCAACACGCTCAACCAGCAATTCGGATCTGGAGCTTCTGGTCTTCTGGTCCTGAAGGGGGCATAGCCGCCATGGCCCATGTGTTTCGTTTTGTTTCTTTTCTTTCTCAAGGGAAACTAGGGCATGGAGATAGTGAGTACAAAAGAAGATGTTAGCACATAAGCCTCCAAGTTGTGGATCAAATATGGGCGAACTGTATCTATTGGTTGGGTCTGCTAGTTCATGGTTACTATTGTTGCTTCGCCAGACCCCTTGGCAAACTTGAAGCTGATGATTTTATTGTTGCTTCGGGAGAGGGGACTCGTCTCGGATTTGGCTTCTTGACCCTTACCATGAATGTTCTGTTTGGATGAGACCCTTACCATGAATGTCCTGTTTGGGTGAAGTGAGAGCTGGCGTTGCGCAGTTGCCCAGTCCATTTTTTGGCTGTCCCTTTTCTTGGGACATCAACCGGTTTAAGTCAGCCCGCCAAAAGAAGCCCTGGGTTCGCCCTCGCAGGTTTTGCGAAGTGAAGGGCTCCACTTGAGTTGGGCCGCCCATTTGGATGCATCACGCTACTCTCCTCTGGCTGGCTCCCAGCCATCCGCTTAGCCTTCTAGCCTTTTTGTGTTTAGTGGGGATTTGCATTTCACCCACCAATAGTGAAGCTTTTAGCGGGGATCTGAGGACAGCCCAGTCATGAACACTGACACGGAGCCCCAAATTCAAGCTCCCTTTCAGGTTCGTGGTGATATTCACTGGGGGGGCAGACACGGCCCGAAGTGTGTATGTCTCAAACTAGGGGAAACACCCCCCAAAGTGGTGGTTTTCCCTTTCGCTTCCCGTTGAAACCTACCAAAACTCTCCACCCCCCAAAAAAAAGATGTGAACCCAGCCATTGTTTTCATGGTGCTGCGGGTTTAGGTACCTCCTGGGTGCTTCCGCCCAACCCCCAAAAAAAGCACTTCCGGCAGGAAGTTCCACCCCGACTACGACCCCAGAACCGGCCGTGCGCTCAAGACGGGAGTCGGGCCTTGTGACGGCAGAGGCATAGGTGTCCTCTTTCTTGGTTGGTTTGATTAAATATAGATGTTTTCCACTGGTTTACGTGGGGTGTCTTCCATTTACCTGGGCCATCTATGTTTCCAAAAGGCCACCTATGAGCAGAGGGCTTGTTTTAGGGACGATGGGATGGAACTGGCTCAATCTGCTTCTGGAAGCGTGGCGGGAGGTTATCACGAGCGAAAAAGCCATGAGCATCCTCACGAGGATCCAATTCCTATTTCAGGCTTTGGAACTAGTTTGATATACATATATATATATATAATACCTATATATATATATGTATATTGATACATCCTCCCTCCACAGGTCGAAACCCCAAAGGGGGAGATCTTTCGCGAAGCTTGACTTTTGGCTGACATATCTTGGTACATGTGCCCCGCTAGCTCAGTGCTTTGAGCGAAGGTCGGTTTGGACCTCCCGCCCCTCCTGTTCCGTTCGCACTCGGAAAAGCCATGGCGAATCAGCCTGTCCAGCCCAGGTAGTTTGTCGGTTTTGAGTGAAGACTTGGCCAATCAGTTTGGGCCCTTTGTCCAGGATAGTATTTTCCTGATGCGTGAATTTGTTTTCCTGCTTCCTTGCCGCAGACAGGAGCTACCGTATGTGTTGGCAGCGGAGTTCCCGGTCTTAGTCCGACATCATCTGAATGAAAGTACACACAACTCGCCAAAGAGAAACAATCCATCCCATTCGCCGCACAGGAAGACTGTCCATTCCGTTTCACACGGCTATCGTGCAACATCTGTCTCAAAGGAAGCCATCGGTAAATCACTTGGGACTGGGTTTTCCAGGTTTAGGAAGCACCATACCCAGATGTCACAAATCTTGTTTACCCACCTGGAAACGGTTTCGTTTCACCCCGTGTTTTCTCTTATGTTTTTTTCTTCGGGGGGGGGGAATGGCCTCCACAGCGGTTTGCTTTCGAGAAGCTCCGGGGCCTTTTTTTTCCTCTTCTTCGGGCTCTGCCGGGCGTTTCCAGGTTTCTCAGCTCAAAAAAGCTTGGGCGCATGTTTCGAAGCCCCTCTTTGCACAGCCAAATGGGTAGGTGCCAGAATTGGGGTTCCCCTCAACACGTGAAGTTGCAGTCCCTTTTTTCGTTTTTCTCTTGCAAGTCCTGGGGGGCGCGAAATCAAAATCCGTTTCCCCCCCCCCCCCCCCGATTTTTTCTCCCCTTTTCTCCGTCCTCCCCGCTCGCGCGACTCCCCCGCGTCTGTGGAGATGTCTCGCCATCTGAGGCCTGGACCACGACCCGGATTGGATGCGCCAGGAAGCCGCGCGCCGCCCCGGCATGGCGACGCGCCCGCTCCCTCCCGGGGCAAATCCAATGGGGAGGATGCCCAAGGCACGGGCTAAAGGGCGAAACGAGAGAAGGCCTAATTATATTTTTTTTGGGGGGTCTCGAAGTGGCTATTTTGTCGATGTTGGGCTGGGCAAGAAATGAAGCAGGACCAGAACATCGCATTTTCTGTGTTTGCCGTGGATTCCAGTGGGCCAATCGAACTTGGCATCGATCGATCGATTTGCCAGGCTGGCATCCCAAGCTCTTCGAGAAAGAGAGAGAGCGGGCGGTGGAGGATCGAAGAACGCGGGCGTTTCTCAGATTTCCCAGCCCTCTGGCTCACTCCCGGTCAGGTTCCTGGACTTTAGTCACTTTTTGGGTTTGGACCGTTTTGGAGGTAAACAGCAAGTTCAGACTTGTTTGGGCGAATCCCTCTCAAGAAGTGAGCTGTTCCTCGTTGCCGTGGCACCCACTGGTCGAGTTTCCATGGGAATGATGGGAGGATCCTCTAAACATGGCTGGTGTCGCATTCTGTTTGACATCAGGAGGTGTCCCCCATTCTCCGGGTTGGGTTAAACTCGCGCCCTTGGCTGGTTCTCCTTCGCAAGTAAGCGGTTAACTCCCAGACTTCCAGTTGACTGCCAAGGGCTGAGCCCCAGATCATCCACGGAGACCTTTTGAGAATCCCTGCCAAAGGTGCCGGGTAATCTTTTGAACCTTTCCTTTTGCAGTGCCTTCAACTCCCAAAAAGGGAATTGCATTGATGGATGGAACTGCTGTTTGGTCACTTCCCTTGGTGGTGATGGGTTTTTCCTAGATGAGTTTGTCTCAAACTAGGGGGGTCGCACACTTCCCCCATTTTGGGGCTTCGGTGTTCTGTTTGGGTTTCTCTTAGCATCAACCCCTTGCATCGGAGGTACCCTTCGCCTCAAGACAAACCCAGACGGATGCTTGTGGGCAGCTTGGCTTTCTCGCGGGGCGGGTTGCTGTCCAATTGCTCGGCCCAAACGGAACCCAAGGGCCCAAGGTTGCCTTCCAAGGGCTTCTTGGACATGAGAATCAGAATGTCTCAGCAAGGGGTGCCTTCTGACGCTGACATGTCGCAAGGACTTGCTGGGGGATCGCGATCCCTCCGCCTTTGGTCTGAGCCGCGGCTTGGTTGCACCAAGCGCCGGCCTTTGGTTTGGCGCTGACGAAACGCTGACGAGTCATCACGCTTCGGCATGGCTTGCGATGCGATTTTGTGTGTGTGTGTGTGTGACCTCTCTTAAAGCAACGGGCAAGACTTGAGCTTCCTTCCCAATCAGGAGGACGTCATCTTCCCCATTGACCATTCGAGCGGTTTTTTTTCGTGCGATCTTGGTCAAAGGGCGTCTGTTCATAGCAGGGCGTTGAGAAGCGTTGGCTTCTGTTTCCTTGGTACCCGGCTCTGTTTTAGGTCGGGTCATTTAGAGTTGCCAGCACATTGCCATTTCTTTGCCAACAGTGTCCTTAGATTCAGTCAAAAGGGTGGATCTTACTTTCAGCTCCCTGATTTGCCAGTGCAATGCATCGAAAAGCACGCCATCCATCAAAAAACGTGCAATCCATCAAACAAAAACACACACACACACACAGACACCCAATGAGTTTCACTCCCAACCCAACCCGCAAAAGGTAGGCCGTAGCCGCAGCGCACTGCACTAAGGCTGGGTCCGGGTGGAGCCCAGGCGGGACAGTCCTGCAAGAAAAGCGGACCGAGCGGTGGACGTTGGCTTTTGGTTGGGGTGGCCGTTTTTGGAGTGGTGGAGGGAAAACCCCAAAGGAACTCTCACTAGTTTTCTCATGTTGTCCAAACTTGTTTTGGGAAAACTGGGATGTCATAGTGCCAAGTGCTGTTAGCTTCCCCTTCCGGTCTTGTTTGTGAACTCGGTTGTACGACTGCCCTCGGGGCCATTTTGGCTCAAGTCCCTGACTTGATCCTTGGTTCGATCTCGGATCTTTTCATTTGAATCCTTTCAGGTAGCTTGGCCATGGCCATGGAAGTTGACGGGGAGTCGACGGCGATGGAGCTGGGGAACCCCGGGTCGGGGACGGCTGCTCCAAGCGCTGTCCTCCGGCCTAGCTTGGACAAGCAGCCCGGGGAGCTCAAGTCCTGTTAGGACTGCCTTGTATCCGCCTAGGGGACTCCTGCATTTTTCCAAGAACTGAAGACACTGCCTCGGAGAAGAGCCTCTTGCTTGGCCGGCTGGCACGACCAGTCGCCTGAAAAAAAACCCGAAGGAATTTTGCCAGGAAAGCCCTACAGACCGGTTGGCGCGACCACTGTCGCCTGGGAGACCTTGTTGGGCTGGACTGGACGTCCAGACTCATCTAATGGGGTGTTTCCTGGACTTTCAGTGGTTCGCCACCCCAGAAAGCCTGGGCCGGTTTTCTCTGTGACCCTCACTAAGTAGCCGGATTCTGGAGTTTCCCTGAGACCGGATTTCAATTGAACACGGATTGCCACGAGACCGGGGTTAAATGTGCGGGAAAGGGGGAGAAACCCTTCATCCAATGAGGGTCGGCAGAAAGCTGACGCAGCCCGGAGGCTGTGTTCGCAGCTCTGCCCGCCAAATTTTGGATTTCCGCCACTCACGCAATCTTTGGGGAGCGCTGCAGACTGCACTGTGACTTTGGGGTCCTGGTGTTGATTCATGAAGGAAAGCCCAGAAAGAAACCCCGCTCTTTTTGGGAGGTCCCCCCCCAAGGAAAAAGGAAAAAGAAGAAATCGACACGCGGATGTGTTTTTTTATTGGATCAGCCGGACTGGAGTCATCCATGCCAGGTGGTGCAGGATGTCCATCCACGTGTTTCTCAAATGATCAAAGGGCACCACCCCCCTTTGCAGGTCGTGTGTGACAAAACGGTGCAGAATGACTCCAAAAAGGACGTTTATGTTTTAGGCCCCCGCATGGCTGGCAGTGTTGGAGAGGGAACATGGATTTTGCCAGACTTGGACCAGCGATCCCACAAGATCCTTCCTGGGAGCCGCATCTCCAAGTTCTTGTTAGGTTCCATGATGGTTTGCCAGGAGACTATCAATTTAGATCTGACAGCTTGGCAGCCTTTCCATTTCTTCTGCGCCCAACGCACGACAGCGCCTCCGCCACAAGCAGGCGGACGATGTGACTCGGACGGACGTCCACAAGAGGGCGGTCACTTCTAGCGCTTGCTGAGCGAGAAGCGAGCGCCGGAAAACAGCGGCTTGAGCTTCGCACGACGCTGTCGGTTTGATCCAAACAGCCACCGGTTTTGCTTAGTCTCCCTTAATTGCCGTGGTGTCCTTTCTGGGATACCCTTTCTGGAGGCGCTTGCAAAGGAAAAAACAAGCGGGCAAAGCCTCATTTTGAGGCTTGTGCGGCTTGGCGGGCCTGATTTGAGTCACATGGAGGATGTTCCGGGTGGGGGGTTTGGGGTTTGGGGTTTCGGGGATCTGCCGTCGAGAAGGCAGTCGTTTCTCCCATAAAGTCTCCTTTGGCATGTTTGAGATGTGACGGCAGCGGCTTTCCCCAACCGTCTTCTATGCCAAGAAGAACGCGGAACTGTTAGCAACATCTTCTTCAACTGTCTTCTATGGCTGCTTTCTCTAACTGGCTTCTTTGATGTTCCGCGTTCGCGACTTTCCGCAGCTGTTGGCAAAGTTATTCAACGCCCACAGGCTCCTTTCAGGCTGCGGTTGTTAAGCGAAAGGCACAAGGCGCAAAAACCTTCGCAGAGGTTTCTCCCCAAGCGTCTGAAGAAGGTTTTTTGGGGTTCTTGCCAGTTCACCTTGAGAGGCAACCCATGTGCGGCACAATCGGGATTTGCACCCCTAAATATTTTGCTTTTCCTTTTGGCTTCCCCTGTAGACCAACCTGAAAAAGCTACCAACTCAGACACACATACACACACACTCATGGGGCCCACGAGTGTGCATTTTTCGGGGAACTTTTTTTAAACCACCCAACAAGAAGCCCCCTGTTTGGAGGGTTCCATATCCTATTTTGACACGCTTTCCACATCTTCCGACAGTCGCAACTTTCGCTCGCCATGAGATGGAGGCGGGAGGGATGTCAGGGGTTAAGATGCTGAGGAAGATGCGGTGCTGACTGGTCCTTGTTGTTCCTCAACCGCTGAAAGGTATGGATTTGGTCTCTGCCCAGATAGGCTCTGGCAGGGGAGAAGGGGTGGTTCGGGGCAAGGGAGGGTTCAACAGGAGGGTTTCAGGGTGGCTCCGGGGGCTGTAGGAGATACCTGGGCTGTAGGTTTTTCACTGCAGGTGGAAGATGATGCTTTGGACATGTCTCGGAGGAGGAGGTCAGAAGGTGAAATGCATTTCTTATCCACTTTTCTTTTTGGGGCAAAAGGGGGGCAGGGGATGGTAACAAAAAGAGGCTGCCCCTGCATGCTTTGGAGGGCTATCCCGGGCACCGCAAGCCGATGATTGAGCACATGGAGTTTGATCGGACGGTTCTTGTGGGATCACCGTTGGGGAACTCCCACAAACAAGATGGATACTTCCAACTAGATGGGAAAAGTTACGCATGGACATTTGGGGCCCTAAATGGAATATTCATCAACCAGCACATGGCAATTGTACTGGAACAGTCAACTTGCAAAACAAGATCATCTTGCTTCATCCAATCTGTTCAATGGTTGTTCCGTGCACGAGCCCCCCCCAAACAAATCAACAAGAAGAACACAACAGAACAACCACAGCAACAGGCGTTTTTTTTTGGGGGGTTTTCCTTTTCGTTTCTCTTTAAAGCCTACCCAACAATGGACCCGTGCCGACTCAAACTAAGGCACCACACCCTCCTCCGGCATTTCTCGCAGGAGCTGCCGGCCTTGCCGGGAGATGAGATCGATGTCAGGGAGCTACAGGCGTCGATTGCCTCGGAAAGTCCACTTTGTTTGTCTCCCCCCAATAGCTGAAAGCTGAGGTTTTTGTCTCAGCCCAGAAAAGGTTTGGGGGGCGTGGTTTTGTTTCTTTGTTCGACTTATTTTTTGCAGTTGGGCTTGTCTCGAAATAGGACATGAAACGCCCAGAAAGAGTGGTGTCCTCGTGGGTTACCTTTAAACCAAGCCAGACAGGGTACCCTGCAAAGCCACAAACCTGTTTTAAAGGTTAATGGGAACTAATTGAGAAACTCCTGGTTGATGAAAGGGGGGGAGCAAGCCTCGTTTGATGGGAACACCCCCCATTAGTGGGGTGTATTAGTCCGTGGTTCAACTGTGGACCAGAATCTAACAAAAAGCATTCCCCACAACGCTTTGAGCTATGGCTTCGATAGGCCCACACAAGTTCGTGACTGGTTCAGAGCGCCTGCGGGCGTTTTCAGGTTGCAAAAGGGTGCAAAGCTTCTTATTTGGCATACCTGGCTTCTGTTTGGTGGGCAAAAGCCTAGGTTTGCTTCTTGTGGTTTTCCTTGAAAGTCACCACCAGAACAACCACCCTCATCGTGTGACATGGCTAGGGTTCCCTCAAAAGTGTAGACACCCTTCCCCAGTTGCCCAGTGGATTCCGCCCCCTTTTTTTCTCAACTTGTTGGGACGGGTCAAACTCAACCAAAACAGGATGTTTTTTTTCCCCAGTGGGCACTGGTCATTTCAGCTTAGAGCGTCCTTCTTCTGATCCTGTGGGGGCTCCTTCGATGGATTTCAGTGGTCAGTCCGATTCGGCGGAAGGGACTTCACGGGACTCGTTCGGACTCGCTCGGACCCGAGCACCTCAAGAAGATAGAGACTTAGAAGGTGTGCATTTGGGTGCGTCTCTGGAGGGTACCCTCTTTGAGGTTGACAAAAAGGGACACCAAAAGGACAGCCGCAATATTTAGGGCCACCCTGTTTGAGACACCATTACGAGGGGTTCACACACAAACATGCATGTTTCTCGTTTGGCCTCCCTTTTCAACGAACCAACGCGGATCCCCAACACATGACAAACCCATATGCCTGACACACCCATATTATTTTGTTTGTTTGTGTGTGTCTCATTCTTGTTTGGGGCCCTTTGTGGATGATGCTGAAAGATGCCAAACGGGAACCGTCGGCATCTGGGATCCGTTCTTTTTGTGAGACTCGTACTCTGGAGCTGTGTCCAAATGACTGGGAGGATCGCCTCAGACGCCTCCGCGAGATGGGAAACCCACCCGTTCCAGGTGAACCCAAAAACCGGGAGGCCGAAGGCTTCCCAGGCGGGGAGTTCGTACCATTTTCCCCGGTCTTTTGTGGGTAGACGGGAGCCCGGAGTCGCGAATTTCAGGTAACCCTGAAACGGGACCCCCGGTAGAAACCCACGGCCTTGAGTCCGTAGGCCTGGGCGGCTGAGCGCCCGCCCTTGGAGGCGCTGGTGGGTTTTGGGGTCTGTTGGCGGCTGGGAAGTTGGTCTTAGCCAGGGGAAGTTGGTCAAGAGCTCGGTGCCAAGCGGCTCTTTGCAAAGACACAGGCGCTGAGTTACTTGCCATCCGTTTTGTTGGCGGGTCTCCTCCAAGAGGTGTTTTTTGCTTGGGGAGTAGGCAAACAATGGACCAATATCTGAGGACTTGTTTTGGCCTGACCGGATGTGCCCAAAGTTTGTAAGAAAAATGAAGGAAGAGCCCAAAACAAATCCAGCGACCTGCCAGGTCACTAGGAACCCACGGAAGAGAGAGAGCCCCTTCTGGTTCCAGATCTGGCGCCCTCACAGTGTTTATGTTGCAGTTTTGTTGTTCTACTACTTGGACCAATTCCTTGGACCAGTTCCTTGGACCAGTTCCTTGGACCAGTTCCTTGTGGTTGTTTTGTTGTTTGCTTGGGCCAGTTCCTTGTAATTTCAGCCTTGGCTGGGCTGCTTGACAGCGTCCCCAAACTTTTTCCCCGATGGAACGTCGGATGCCTGTCGACCCTAGAGCCTTGGTGTTACTTGGGCTTGGAGTTCGCGATCACATGGGTATGGGTCAAAATTAAACCATCGTCCTTGTTTCCATTTAGCAGGGCAAGCCATTTTGGATCCCCGCCTTTGACCCACAGCCACATGAAGAAGGCACCTTTCATGTGGAGCTCTCAGTTTGGGCGGTGCTGATAGTTTGTTGCTGGACTGGGAGGAGGAGAGGGGAACCTCAACCACCCCAGCTGGGACGTCCGAATCCTTGACCCAAACATCCTTCCGATCCTTCCATGGGTTTCGCGTGAACCAACCCCAGCGAGGGGCAGCAGAGAATTCACGATTCCAACAGCTCAAGCTGTTGCTTCGAGCCTGAAGCAGATCAAAACAAGGCCAGCACGACCAAGGGTTGGCTCAAGTTTCTCCGTTCCGAGCTGAGGCTTTGCTTGATTACTAGGGGGTGCCAAACACATCCACCCCCCATTTCCAATTTATGAATCTGGGGTCGGCATCTAATGTCCTTTTTCTTGCAAGTCTGACCTGCTTGCATGTTCAACCAAGTGGGCTACCATGAATGTGAGTCGTTCACGAGCTATCCCATAGCAATAGCCATGGTCGTATCTCATACCAGCATACTGAGTCCCGTGCACGGACTGGTGCAAAGATAATTTTGTGCATCAGTACTTAGTATGGCTTAGTCATCCGTGGATATCACTATGCCTGGGGTTGGAGAACGACTCATAACCATCCAGGCAAATCCCAGGCCAGCCTGTATAGTAGGCAACCAGCCATGTTCCCTTTGATTTTTAAAGGTTGGCAAGTCCTTGGTTACCCACAAAACCTTAAAGGTTGGACATGAAATCACAAACCTTGGTTACCCACAAACCTTGGTTACTCATAACCTTCCTGTCATTTTTAGCAACAAGGAGTCCTTTTCAGAGATGTCCTTTGGTTTCCCAAGTCCTTTAGGTTGGCAAGACCTACGGGGGGTTTTCCGTATTGAACCACTAAGAGTTAGTCACTTTTGGCAGGGGAGCAGATTTCGCAACCGAGCTTGGTTACCCACAAAACCGGGAAACGGAATCACTGGGGGTTGTCACCCACTTATTTCGGTCGAACATCGAGGCGCAGCTGCGGGCTGCTCTCACGGAGGCGCTGACGCAGGCGTCGCATGCGTCGCATGCGTCGTGTTCGTGCGTGTTAGAGGTGGATCCCACCTCCCCTTGAAAGCCGAAAAATGTGCTCACATTTTTTCGGAAAATTCTCTATATGTATATATATATATATGTTATAAGCACAAACTAAAGCTGCTGTGAAATTGGCGGTCTTTGCCATGCCCTTGCAATTTGGGCGGTGTTGTCTCAGCGAGGGGACCTTTGACCGACCTCATGACGTCAAGAACTGCAGCGCAAACCAGCAACAAGGTGGTGCATGCGCCTCCCAATCTCAAGATGCGGTTTGCATATGTGTGTGTGTGTGCGCGCGTGTGTGTGTGTGTGTGTGTGTGTGTGTGTGTGTGTGTGTGTGTGTGTGTGTGTGTGTGTGTGTGTGTGTGTGTGTGTGTCCGGGTATTTGCTTTGGGGCCAATACATCATTCAAGTTCCCGTAGATAGTCGCATGCGTGCTTCCTAGTTTCGCTGGACAGAAAGTGGCCGGCTCAAAGTTGAGCCAAGAATCGGACACCGGCGGTGGGAACTTGCGGCGCCCAACTTGTTTTGCCATGGCACCTGGTTTTCCTTTTGGTCTTTCAAAAGTCTGCCTTTTGAAAAAAGGGCGTCCCCTTTTGGCTTCCCTGGTTTCCTTTCAAGGTCGCCTGGGTGTTCCTTTCGGTTCCCCTTAAAAGGTTTCCCTTCAAGCCACAGCATTGTCAGTAACACCGCACTTGATTTGCGCTGTTAACTACGCGGCATTTTGTTTCCCGCTGTTGCCACCTGTGTACTTTTACGCAGAAAACTGCGCAGCCTCCTTTAAGCCATCCTACACAGGGTCCCCTCAGAAAAACCCTTTGGCTTCCCTTTCCCTTCAAGGTCGCCTTGGTGTTCCTTTCGTTTTTTTTTTTTTTTTCTTGAAAGGTTTCCCTTTGAGCGAACCCACCACAGGCTCCCCTCAGAAAATCCGCGCCAGGGACCCCTCGGTTTCTCCCCCGAAACGGGATCCGTTTCGCGGATCGAGGAGGGCGGCCTGGAGCCCGCGGAAGCCATAGGAGGCCACCGGCCGACTCGGAAGCCGCGGATCTCGGAGATATTTGTCCGGTGGAGGTGACAGATTTACCCCCCGTTTCTTTTTTGGGTTTAAAGGGACTTTTTTTTTCAAGGGGTTGGTTTAAAGGGAAGCCGGCGGTTTTGCAGGGGTCATTCTTTTTCGGAGGGGCGTATTTTTGTTTCGAAGCCTCGGTGGAAAAAAGCCCCTTTCTGGGGTGTTGGGTTGCTTGGAAAGGTTGAAACCAGTGGGAAAAGGCGAGTTGTGCGTCCCGGTCCAAATCCCGATTTTGATGATACCCAAACGCAGAGCTCGATTTCCGATCCCGCACCTATGGCCGCACTTGGTTTCCTAGGGGAGCAGCGGCTTTGGCGGCAAGTTGGGTACACATCCGCCAAATTCGAATCTGTGGACGTGGACCAAATCCCTCTGAAAAAAACCCACTATTCATCATGTTCAATTGGTTTTCTGTGCAGATGGACCATGAAGAGGGTTTCGAACAGTTGCCTTGGCAAAACATCATGCCATTGCGCTGGCCATTGGTGCCTCATTTTGCATGTCCAACACCTCTTTCAGAGAGCTTTCAAAGGGAAGCTCAGAGGCAAAGTTGTTCTTTTTTTTTGAGGGGTCACCGACTTTCAAACACACACACACACATGCGCACGCACCCGCTTTTTTCCTTCTTTCTTTTGTTTTCTTCTCTTTTTTAAGTACAATATTGCAGCGATGACTTGGGTAGTTCCTCGAGCGGTCCCGATGCCTTGGGTTTTCATCATCTTGAACTCACCCAGAGAGTGCCAGATGCCACCAGCCTCCCAAAGAATTTGGACTTGATACTTTTTGGGTTTGGATGGTTTGTGAGCCATTTTGTAGAGGCAAATACAAACTACGTATCCAAAACTTGTTTGCTTCCGATGTTGGAGCATTTCTGATCTTTTGGGACAGTCCACTAGATCCGTGAGATAGGCGGGGCCGGACCCCCGCCCACATCCAGCCGGGTGTCGCCAGCATCCATGCAGCCAGCGTTTGCCAGGCCAAGACTGCAAGGTTGCGGTGCCGGTACTCAGCTTCCCGGTGAGCCGATCCTGGTTTGCCGATGCGGTGAGGTGTAGGAGGTGAGGGTTTCGAGGGTTGTCCATCCCTCTAAAGGAACCAGGCGTGCAAAAATGCCACCCGCAAGAGCAACTGAGAGTGTCTCATGGTGACAGCCACTAGCAAAAAACCAAGAAGGTCCGCTTTGCCAAGTTTTATATGGCTCTGGGTAGACCCCTGTAATGCCAGGTGTTGTGTGTCTTGGTTGTGCAGTCCCTTAATTACCCAAGCCAGAGTTCTCGCGACACACGTTTCAATCAGTTTTGGTGGAAGAGGTGGACACTGCCAGGCAGGACTTTGTCAAGTTGTGTGTTTGTCCCCGTTTCAAACCACCGAATTTGTTAGACCTATTCTTTCTTTCTTTCTTTCTTTCTTTCTTTCTTCCTTCCTTCCTACCTGCCTACCTTCCATTCTTCCTTCCTGCCTTTCTTTCTTTCTTTCTTTCTTTCTTTCATTCTTTCTTTGATTTGTTTTTTCCTTTCCCTGCGTTCCGTTCCTTTCTCTTTCTTTGCCTTTGGATTTTCTTGGTTTTATCTTTTATTTGCATTCCTGTCTCTTTGTTTCTTTACTTTTATCATATCATGTTTGTTTCTTTTCTGTTTCCTCTCTTGTCTTGAAAGAAACAACACGAACACAAACAAAACAAAACACAAATCAAACAGTCTGTTTGGTTCCCCTTGTTTATGTTCATGCATTTTTCCGTTCTTTTCTCCTTTTTGCCTGGTTCTCATTTCTTTCCAATCTTATCTTACTGTACTCTTCTCTTTTCCGAATTATTCTCTTCTCTTTTCTTCTCTTCTCGTTTTTCCAGTTCTTTCAGTTCCTTCCGTTCTTTTGTTTTTGTCCTTCCTTCAGTTCCTTCAGTTCTTCTCTTCCTTCGGTTCTTTGGTTTTTCCGCTTCGGGTACCTCGGCCGAGGCGCGGCTGGCCTCCCTGCTGCAAACCGCGGCGGAAGAGCTACTGCACCGCTGGGGCGAGGCGCCTTCGGCCATTCTCGGCGCCAGAAAACACTCAGAACCAAGAAACCAAGCAACCAAGGAACCACAGGTGTGAGGGGGTCGTGCTTGGGCACGTCAGTAAATTTGTTCTATGTTATTAGCATCATTATGAGCAATGTTAGAAAGGCATTCCGCTCAAATCCATGGGCTGCTTTGGGGCGTCGAACGGAGCGCGCGCGAGGCCGAGTGGCCTGTTGCCAGCTCCGGGCCCAGCGAGGCGGGTTGCTGCTGGATTGGCGGCTCTTTTTTCCAGTTCTCACTCAGCCAATGGACGCACGAGTTTTATATACCACCTTTTTCAGATTTGGCCGTGGCCCAAATCCATTTTGTTTTGGCTGGTCGCTTGCCAAGTGAGTGGTTGCTGCGGCTCGGCGTTGCCAAACTATGTTTGCTTTTAGAAGGAGGGTTTTTCCTTGGACAGGCGCAAGACATAGGGTTGGTTGCAAAACAACTTGTTCAAGCAAAACCAAGATGGAGTTGGGGAGAAAGCAGTGCATTAAAAAATAATAATACGAGGGGCGAGCTTAGAGGGGAAGCTTCAAAAGGGTTGTTAGCAACCATGGTTGCCAAAGGAAGACAAGATGGGGATTCATTCAATTAGTTCGAGGGGGTTTCTTCCTCCTGCCCCGTGACATTTCCCGCGTCCCGCCGGAGGTGGCAGGGCTTTGTGAAGAGTTAGCCCACGCGCGAGCTGGCAGACTGAGAGCCCACCAGAGGCGCGCTTTGATCGGGAAGCGCGGAGTCGCTGATGGCGCGGAGTCGGGGCAAATAATTTGGAGTTTTTGTTGAGTCAGGAGTCAGAGAATGGGTTTGTCGCATGGACAATTTGGCGGTGATTGCGCACTTTGAGTATACCCAGCTCATTTTGGCACGGAACCAGAGACATTTTGCTAGACATCAAGGGCTTTGCGCTACTCCGAGCCTGAAGGGTTCCGTGACCGCTTGATTTCTGTTGGGTTGTATTATTTAGACTGGAACACTTCTTGGTTGACATCCATTGGATTTTCCGAAATCCCAGAAAAAGGGGTCAGCACCGCCCGGCATCTCGGCGAGCTCGACCGCTCCAGGCTTCAAGAATTCAAAGAGTGCAAGCAGGCGCCCGGAAGGAGAATCGCGCGGTTTTTCAGGGACACTGCAAGGAAAACCACGCATTTAGAAGGTTCCCCATGTGTTCACATCCACCAGGGGATCTTTTTTTCTTCTTTGTTTTCTTCTTTGTTTTCTTCTTTTACTTTTCGGCCCATGTGGTACAGGGCACCTCCAGTGAGGCACCCAAGGTTGGTAACGATTGAAGGGGCCAACGGTGTGAGCTGCGGAAGCCCTAGAAAACCACAATTGGAACTCCAGATTTGGAACTCCAGATTTGGGGCCGGGTTCCTTTTGGTTCCCCCTTGAAACCAGGCAACAGAAGGGTTTTCTAGAGAAACGAACACACACACACACAGACACACAACTTTGGTTTTCAACAAGAGAAGGTCTACGGAGGAGTACACCCGGGGAGGCCATGAAACGTCGCGAATACGCAAACGTCGAGGTTGCGATGGATACTTGATGAAGTCGCGCTACCAACCAGACGGAGCCAAACACAAGGAGTGCACGCAGAGACATGGCGACGTGGCCATGCTAATGTGAGCAAACACGCAGCTCATGGATGGCGGGAGGTCACAGAAACGGAGCAGGCCGTGAAAACCGGTCACGGTGAGCATGGAAACCTGCAAGGTATTGTCAGCGTTTGGCGCGAGGTTTCAATGCACAGGTCGCGTTGTGCATTCGACATTGGATGAAATCAGTTGGATGGTCCCATTGATCACTTCAAGTCAGTTGGATGGTTGATCATAGAAAAGAGACAAATCAGTTGGTTCTCATTTTGATGCGTTGATTTTGGCCCTTTAGTCTTTTGTGGGTCCTGGTGAGGACTTCTTTGTTCTCGGGCTTGGGAAAAAGGGGATGCGACGAACCTGATATAGCCCAACAGCCGTGATGCTCCACGCTGTCACTAGTTCAACACGTCTGGTAGCAATGACCGATGATTGGAATCGAGTCTGCTATGTCTACCGCAAAAGGAGACATGCGGCGCCCTTTTTTCTGAAGGGGGGGGGGAGGGGGTTCGCGCGGGGTGTACTTGTAGCTGTTGCTTTGTTTTGGGAGGATCTTGAATTACAAGAGCCTTCCAATGCTTTCTTTTTCCCTGTGTCCCATGTGCTTGTCGGGAAAATTCACGGGTTTCTCTCTTCGAGAACGTGTCAAAGTTGGCGACCCGTTGGATTCTCGGGATCAATCAACGTCTCCCGGTTCTTTGGGGGGACCACCAAACTCAAAGGATACACGGATGTCATCCATGGACACCATAAATCGACCGGGGTTGATTAGTCATGATGAATCCGCAGTCTGAACATCAGGCAAAGGCTTTGGCTACAGGAACATCTGCAGACCAAATGGCCCCAAAGCCCACCTAAATCAGCTGTTTTCCTGTAGAACTTCCTACCCAAGCCTTTGACATGAGGCAAAGGCCACGAGGCTAGGGACCTGTGGCCTCCGTAGCTTCCAGGCGGCGCAGTCGGCGCTGGGCAAAGTCGGGGCACTCGTTGCTTTCGAGTCGGCGAGTCGCTTTGGGGAGTGGGGGGGAGTTGGTTGCTTCGGTCCGAATGGGTTGAATCGGGTATGTCGTCCTTTCATTTCCCTTTAAAGTCAACCTGAAAGGGAGAATACCCTGGAAAAGCAGAGCTCTTGGGGCCCTGCAAAGGGCTTCTTGTTTTGGTGAAGATATTGTGGCAGCCAGGTTTCATTTGCGGCAACCGAAGCAATGCTTGTCAGATATTATTCGCCCCCAACCCCCAACCCCCACTCTCCCCCCCAACCCCTAACCCCCACTCTCCCCCCTCCCTTCCCCCACCCTCACCCTTATGATTTTAGCGTTCACCTGCGGTTCGGGCGGTTCAGGCAATGGACTTCTCTGAAAATCCGAGTGACGCTTTCCGACCGCCGATGGAACCGATGGCCTGGCCTTGTTTTCAACTTCTAGGGGGTGAACCCCTCAAAAGTAAACTGTCAACATCTTGATATGATGCACAGGTGGCCGCCATTCAGCTTGGCCCCTTTTGGCCTCTAAGATTCGACTCTAGCCACCTGAAAGCCTTCCTATGAGACAAAAACGCATGTGCTCAAAACACACTGTGGCTTGGGGGGGTAGGAACGATCATCAACCTCTAAAGGGTTTTAGATAACCAAGGAAAAGGCTCCTGAGACAAGCATGTCCACTCAGAGATTCAGAGTTTTCACCATGGCAACATGCACTGTCGTGTGTGTCGCACTGTTCCCTTGCCCCTGATTGCGAGAAATTTGGGGGGACCCAGCATGTCCTCCCCGAGCAATGGACTGCCAGCAATTGTACCATCTGAGTTATGAAATCCTGGTACAGGGATCTGCCCCATCCCTTCCAAGGAGTCACAAAGGCGGAGAAGTCCGCACCTCTTTTTGGCTGGGACTCCCGGCGCTTGGCGCGCCAAGCGCCGTTTGAAGCTGTAGGCAATGGAGATCGAGGAGACGGGAAACCCAGATGCCATGCCCGCGGGTTTGAGGCAGTTCTGCCGCTGGGGCATGGACCAGGCCATTGAAGTCAGGACCTGCTCAAAGTATTGGAACAGATTCAGGTTTTCATTTGGGCGCCCAAAACCGAGTCCAAAAGGGTTTTCGGTGTTTTGGCTCCTGTTTACCTGTATTAATAGTGGTTTTAGTGAGGGCTATACAAACCAGTACGGCCATCTTGCTAGAACCAAAAGCCAACGGATTTTGGGTGCTGCTCATTTGTCTAGAGGGGACATCCTCCAAAATGGAAGGTAGATATTATAAAGCCCGGCAAAGGATCACAACAAATCAACGTACACCCGAATAGGTTGGTTTGCAAAGCGCGCTTCACCCAGACTTGATGTCCATTTTGTCTCCATTGCCAGCCATGATGATCTCGAGGGATATCCTCCCAGCTAGGTGCCCTTTCTCACCCCTTTTTTGGTTGGGAGGGTTTGGGACCCTACTCAGAAAAAAGGGCACCCTTATTCTAACCTCTAGCTCAACTACCCTCTTTATCCAATCATAGAAGTGTGCAGGCCTTTTCAAGAGGACCGAAGACCTCCTGTCAGCTATGATTGGAAGGGTAGGATTCAGCCCAGCAGCCCCAGCTTCTCCGTTCGGGAGCGCAAAACCAGTCGAGCTGGGTCGTTGAGGGCACCTCTGAGTTTGCCTCTCATGTTGAACAGGGTCCCTTAAAGGACGTGGGCTGCTATACCAGACAATTTGTGACCTTTTAGAGGTTTTTTTTTTTGTGGTGGGTGTGTGTCAAAATCCGGCGGGGAACCCCAAAATGGGCGGTTTTCCTTTCGGTGTCCCTTCAAACACAATCCCAAGAGGGGTATCCTCAAATAAACGATCCAACAACACCCACGTGGTTTTTCACGGATTTCTTTTTAACGGCCCCCGGTGGAAGCCTCGTGGATGCGACCGGGCTCGAGGTCAGAAGAGGAGGATTTGCTCTCCCAGGGCCCCTCGGAGATCTTGGAGGATACCGGCGAGGAGGCCAGTCGCTCGGTCGGGCGGTTAGCTGAGGGCGCGGGGGGTTTGGAGCCGTTGGTCAAACTTTTGACGGTGGCATGGCATGTGGTTAGGTGTGTTTAGCATGTTTTGGTTGGTTGGCGCATTGTGGTTATATAGTTTATTGTTTGGTTCTCTGTTCTTTTTTGGTGGGGGGATGTGCAGAGAAAGACATATGCTTGCTGCCATACCTCTGCAGGTCAAGAACCCTAGAAGCCCCGGTTGAGTTATGGCCCGTGACCATGATTGTAGCTCACCTAGGATCTAGCAAAAAGAAGCCTCCACAGAACAGTAGGTTCAGCAGGAAACATCAACTACTTAAACTCAGGCTGTTGTCATCAAAGGTGACGGACCATCTCTAAACCGGCCCCCGGAGCACGGGGCTCTAGAGTCATATACTACACAGCTGCCCCTTAGCTCTCGGCTGCAGCCAAGCTGCTGAGTGCAAAATGCTGCTCGCGCCTCGAAAGTTCAAGGTGGACCCCGCGGCCGTCCTCAGGCTGTTGACGGAGCGATCGTAAACGATCGGCTGTCTTGATGAAACTTTGCCCTGTTGCGGACAGCTTGGCTTTGAGCTAGTTCTAGGGCTGCTGAATGTGAGACTTGCAGGAATCCAAGCCCAAACCCAAACTCAGCCAGATGCAGCCGCCGTCCAATAGTAAGCCTGACAGAGCCCCAACTCACCCTAAGTTCAAAGCCAACAAATCGGGCCCAGGCTTGTGGACAGATCGGCGCCAAACTGCTTGCGAATGATGCTGGTGATGCTGCCGCCAGCCTTCAAAACCAGCTCCCGCCAGCAAGCTCTGGGGTCTCCCTTTTGGGCTGTTGTTGAGGGCAGTTCCACTTATTTTGAGACAAGCCGGACAGCCCAAATGGCGACCCCTTTTGAGACCCTTTTTAGGGCAGGATCCCAAGAATTGGGCGAGATGTTTGGCAGCCCCCTTCTTTTCGTGCGCAAGGAAAGGGGTCGCCAGTTTGCGGAGACCCAAAATGAACGCGCTGGCAAATTCTCGCCCTGCGCTGTTCCCGTCGGGTCGCGCGCATGCGCGAAACGAGCGCGCGTGAATGCCAGGGGAAGAAGCGTGGCTGGAGTGCCAAGAGGCCGGGACTTTGGGGGTGGGGAGGGCTTGGGTCATGTCACGCCTGCAAACCTGCGACGGATTCAGCGTGCGAAATGGCATGGGGTGGACACCAATGCCCATGCCATAGTCAAAGCACCCATTTTACTTGGGCTTGGTAAGGATGGCCAGAGACCCCTTAGCCATGCGCTTGGATGGCGTCCTTTTTGAGGGTACCCGGTTTTTTCCTCGTTTAAGGTTTAAGGCACACCACCAAAAGGACACCCGTGTTTCTTTTTTCTTCTCCTTTTTTTTTTGGGGGGGGGGTCCCAAATTGGTGTCTTTTTTAGGGAGGGGGGGCTCCCTAAAAACAGAGACAGACCCAACCGCTTGCCCGGCTTCAGGTTCCTCGGCAAGGGCTTCAAGAAGATGCGAGGCCTCGCGCTCGCGGGATTTGCCGGGATTTGCTGTCCGAAACCCCACTGCCCAAGTGGAATCCTCTGCACCATGAGCTCCCCTCTAGTTGGCGGTTTGGATTGGTGGTTTGGATTGGTGGTTTGGATTGGTGGTTTGGATTGGTGGTTTGGATTGGTGGTTTGGATTGGTTTGGATTTGGATTTCAAGGGGTTGCAGGTTCTTGTAGACGGTAGATGAGAAGCCACCCCTTCAGCACCAAACCACCGGGTTCCAAACCACCAATGCAAACCACCAGGCGTAAGCTGACACTGGGTCTCCCCATGCCGCACAATCCACACCCATGGCTGTTGGATGTTCTGAGTGAAAGCGGAGCAACCAAAGGCTCAAATTTGTTAGCCGGGGGGGGCCAAAGAACCGGTCCCTTTAAAGGAAAATGGGTCGTCCAAACCAGGACCCGGACGGTGGCAAGGTGGACGGGAGGGTTTATTCGTCAGAGGGTGCACTCTCATGGTGTGTTTTGGCGTTTTTGGTGCCATTTTCTTCCCAATCTTCACTGCACATGCCGGCGCCGGATCTGAATGGTGATCGGTTGGGTTCTCTTGAGGGAGGTTGCAACCGCCTAGGCCGCAATGACTGGAGAATCAGCCCCAACACCTTCCAACGACTTTTGGTTGGGCCAGTCCCATATTTCACTTTGGGGGGTGAGCTCGTCTATTGAACTGTTTGTTCCTTTCCCCTCCTTGGCGTGCCGGTGGGCAGAATGCAGCGTCATGTCTCTGACGTCAGGCTCAGCATGTGTTGTCTTGCGTCAGCATTGGGGCAACAAAGCAACTCCAACAAGGAGTTCCCCTGTTCTTGCGGGAGCCTGCATTTTCTTTGGTATTCCTAGTTGTTTTTCTCGTATTCTTGCGCTAATTTTGGAGCATTGTTCTCTCCAAGAAGGGGTTCTCCTGTATTGAGACATCCCCCCCCAAAAAAAAGTCTTGCTGGTGCTCAGTAGGGAATCAGAAATGGAATGACCCTTATAACCCATCCAGCTGGTGGTTTCCTTTCAGGGGACCAAAGCCTGGGAATGAACCCTTCCACATCACATTCCCTACCGAAATCGCACCGATCGCAAGAAGATCCGCACCGATACACCTCAGAGCCTGCGCCGCACTCCGGCAGGCCGGCGCTCGCAGACGGGCAGTCTGACGCCGCCTGCGGTGGGCGGCCTTGGTATGGCTGCTGCCTTCTCTTCCATTTGCTTCACATCCGTCCGTCCATCCATCCATCCAGCCAGCCATCCGTCCATCCATCCGTCCGTCCGTCCGTCCGTCCATGAAGATGGGTTTGTTGGTTTTGAAGGGAATGGCTCAGGCAAGCGAGGTTTGAGGTTTTGGGTCGGCCTGGTGTTCAGGCATGACCTTCTTAACACGCTTTTGCCAAGTGAATGGTGTCGAGTCTGGACGAATTAGCTCCTATGGTTGGAGCCAGTGGCAAGTTTCCATATTTCTAGGGGTTGATTCCTTTTCCATTCCTTTCAACCATCGTTCTTTTCAAACACCGGATCGGTTTCCCCCTGGTTTTTGATGGTTTCCTGAAAAGAAGGATCCCTGGAAAGAATGGGGAAGGTACCCCTAGAATATTAGTCAGTGACAATCCACTGTTGGTTCAGTGGGTATGTGGGATCAACGTGCCCAGACACTCAGGCCGTGTCACCGACTGGCTCCTTTGCATCCTCCATGCAGACAGCCAGGACTGACCGCATCGCCTGAGCCCGGCATCGACCAAGCATTTAGCCAAAAAGGGGGGGGGGGGGGGTAGGAGGGAAGACCGTTCATTGGACGTCCGGGTGGCTTCTTGAATATCAAATGCGCAGAAAAGCTACTTCCAATGTTGAATATGTTGAATATGAAAATGACCCGGTCTCTTGCCCAGAGCTATTTTCAAATATGTCTAAATGATTGGTGCAAAAATCCGAGCCTCGAACAAAGCAACATATTATGATGTATGTAGACATCAATACAAATAGCACTGGGCCAGAGGCCAGGCCCTTTTTAGATATGTCATATGTTTGGGCCCCGTATCTACAATATTTAGACATATTCAGACGTAGCTCTGAGGCGGGGCCCTTTTTGACAGTTCAACGTATTCAACATATTTTAGAATATGTAAAACACATACTTTTCTTACATAAAAATATGTTATTAGCGTGGTGATTCCTTCCATGCCCTTCATATCCTCTTATGTTCTGTCCGCTTCCTTTGCATATCCCTTCTATTATTTCCTTTCCATGTCCTTTTTATTATTTTCTTGCTAGTATTTCCTTTCCATTTCCGTTCCATTGGATCCTTGGCATGTCCTTTCCATTCCGAATTCAATTCATTTCCGTGTTCTTACCATTGCCTTTCCATTTCACTTGCATTTGCGTTCCATTCATTTTCGTGTCCTTTGCATGTCTTTTCTATTGCCTTTCCATTCCCTTTCCATTTAATTCACATGTCTGTTCAATTTATGTTTTGTTGTTTCCTTTCCATTCCTTTTTCATTTTTATTTTCCTTTCATGTCTTTCAATCTGTGTCAATATCCGTTCCATTCCTTTCCATTTCAGTTCCATTTCCTTCTCACTTCTAATCTGCCTTTCCCTTTCTATTTTATGTCAATTTCCTTTTCCCGTCGTTTCTTGTTCATTTCTTGTCGTTTCTCTTTCATTCATTTGGATTGCAAGCTAGAAGTGCCCAAGGCGAGCCGGGGCCAAAACGTGATCGAAACTTGGGCCGGGTTTCCTTCCATTTCCTTTGCATTTCTTTCCTTTTCTTTTCCATGTCCTTTGCACTCCTTTCATTTGTCTACTCCCTTTTCGCGTTTTCCATGTCCTTTTCATTTCTTTCTGTGTCCATTCCATTCATTCCTTGCCATTTCTCAAGGCAAGCCATCCTCTCTTCATTTAGATGCCCTTCTCATCTCCTTCAAATTTCACAACCAGGTCTATTCAATTCCTTTCCACTTCTGTGGCAGTAGCTGCAAAGGGGATAGAAAGAAACCTTGTGGAAAGGAAGTCTATTAAGACTTGGAAGGAAAAGGACGGAGGGAGAAGACATGGAAGGACTGGAGAGAACATTTCTGCCCTTCCGCTTTCTTGCAGTTTCCTTTCCTTCTTGGCTCTATCATTTTTCATTCTATTCCCTTTCCGTTCCATTCTACTTCTTTCCATTTTCCTTTCGTGGCCTTTTTCTTGCCATTTCCTTTCCATGTCCTTTCCATGTCCTTTCCATTTCCTACTTCCTCCTCAACCCGCCCCGCCTCACGACCGTCAAATGAGAGTGCTAGGGGGGGAGGTGTTTAAACTGGAAAACCACCATTCATCATCTAGGACACATTTCCATGATGCAGGTAGCTTTTTTCCCATGGGAAGGATCGCTTTGGGACCCCGGCCGTGCCAGTTGGAAGTGGGAACCTGCCCCTATGGAAAGCATAGACATATTTTTCTCCTTGAGTGAGGTGTTGCAGACCCGTACATGGTGCGTGTCCTGTTTTAGAGGGCACCGTCTCACAAGATGCCGAAAGGAAGCCCTTGCCAGTTCAGGGGGGAAACCCTATCTTGAGACAAGCTTACGGGCCCATTGCCAGGACACCTTCGCCCACCAGGCTTGGCGAGTCCACGCTGGTTTCTGGGCGGCCTCAAAACACATCCCCCTGCGCGCTAAAAGCGTGGCTTGCTTTTCGGGGTGGACGTGTCTGCTCGCCTCTTGCCAGGGTGTAGCGCTGAAAGCGCCGTGGCAGTTTCGGACAAATGTCGATGTTGGCACCTCGCAACTTCAGCCCTGGAGCCCAAAGAAACTTCCTGTGCAAGATTCCGTCTTGGGCGTGTCAGTATGTCTTGGGTACCTTGGTACCCGGGCCGTTTGGACGAAGGGGGGGCTTCAAAGGGAAACTACGAGGGTTAGACAAACCCTGGGCCTTCCAGTGCCCTTCGAGTTTGGCCTTGCGCCTCTGACAGAAAGGCGGAATCTTCACAGTTGTTGGCCTCTTTTTGGTTCACTTCTAGTGGGGGCTGCAGAAAAGCCAAAGTTGGTTGCTACCATTTCAAGGGTTGGAAAGGAAGGCTGATCCAATTTTGCGGAGCTTGGGCAGGGGGTTGTCTTTTCATGTATAGCCTTCTACGTGGAGGCCAGGGCTTGTCAGCCAATTCAATGTCGACGGAATCAGACTGCTGGACTGAGAGGAGCGGTGCTTTCCCCGAAAGTCACGGATCCCCTCTTAAATGTACCACCCTATTCATTAACCAGGGGTTCATCCCCCGTTTACCCGCCGAAATTTGGGAGCAAATCCTGACTCTCCATTTGGTTTCGGCTCAACTTAATCCTGACTCCGCGGAGAAGGAGCGACACCCGCTTTGACCGTTTCCTTTGCGAGGTACTATAACTTTCTGGTGCTCAGCAGGGAAAGAGGGAGTGATTCCCTTAAAGGAAACCACATGGCATGGTTTATAGGGGTGATTCCCTCATTTCCTGCTCAGCAAGATCAAACATGTCTCTGTTGCAGTGTTCAACCACACAGAATGCCAGGCCCTGGCACTTTTCAGGGCCATTCATGAAGGATGGGGTTGCGGGATACTTCAAGTCAGGATCATAGGGTACGTCACGTGTGTCATTAGTTCGCCCCTCAGAGTGACAGCCCGGAAATCACTTCTGGGCTCCTTTCAGGCCTCCGACTCCCAAGCAGCTGATGGTGCAGGCGTGAAAAGGGGGAGGAGCGGTCCAGATAACGACGGCTTTGGGGGTCTTCTAAGCCTCAACTGCCATTTTTGGAACTAAAAATGAAGTTCCTGCACCCTAGCGTGGCATTTCCATTTGTACCTGAAGTGCCCTTGGAGGGTGCTGGTTGATAGATTTCAGTTTTTTTTGAAGCTGAAACCGGTACAGAGACTCAGAATCTGCGCGATGCGGTGTGTTTGCTTCCAAGAGTATGTTACACGCCGCGGCAGACGGCAAGCGCTTGTATGTGCGGATTTGTCTTTTTTGCCCCTCTTCCCCAAAAAAAGTAAATAGAAGATAAATAACTAGCAAAATAAACAAACAAACAACTTGAGTGTTTTATTTGGTTTCGCTTCAGACCAACTGAAGGTGCAAAGGAGCCACAGCCATGTGTTCAAGGGCTTTGTGGGACGCAGGGACGGGCTCAGTGGGACCCAAATGAATCTCAGTCTGACCTGCAAAAAGACGAAGCCTCACAAGAGTGTTGCTTTTCCATTGATGATTTCTCCCCATGATGAAGACTTCTTCAAGAAGGGATCCCTTCTTGGCATGTGGAGAGAGAATGATCCTCTTCTCTCTATCCAGAGCCTTCTGCTCAGGGATCCGAGTGCCCTTCCGACAACAGGGGAAGCATCCGGTGAAATGGGTTGTTTCTGAAAAGAACGATGTGCAAACTGGGCAGACTTACGAATTGGCATGGAACACTCAAAAACAAACACCAGCAGCTTTTTGGAACAGAATCCCCCCCGTTGTTTGCGGGCTTGCCCCCTGTAAAAGACAATTGGACATGGGTCAAGAGCCAAATCGTATTTTCAGTGAACCTCCCAATCCAACCACCAAAATAGGTAATAAAATTGGTGAATTCACCTACCCACCAAAATGGATCTAAACCCCCAAAGAGTGAAACACACTTTTTGCAGGGAGGTCCTTACAGCAACCAAGCTTCAAAAGAAAAACATAATTTGAAGGTTTAAGCGGCAAAAGTTTTCGCTGAGGCCTCCAGTGACGAGCTGGTGAGGGCCGCCTGGGGCCCCGCACATGTGCAATTCGCCGCCGACCCGTTTATTCGTTTTCGGGGTGGCCCAAAAGCGGACAGGGTGGCCTGGCTCTTTTTAAAAAGCTCTCTGGTTTTAGGTTTGAGTCTCTGAAAAAGACTCAATTTTGACTCAATGTTGGAGTTTGACTCAATTTTGGATTTGTTGTCTTTGGGTTTGAGTCTGTGAAATTGACGGTAGGTGTTCTTGGTCCTCTTCTGGACAGACATAAGTATTACTTTGGAGAAGGTTTCTGATTGGAATTCATGGTGTCAAACGTTGACCCCCTATTTTTGCGACCTGGCGGATGATTGGGATTTCTTTTCTTTTTCTTGTTTTTTTACTCAACCTTCGTCCGACTGGAACCAAAAAACTGACGCTTGCAAAGAACCACTTGCTCATTTGGGCGTGGTTCGTGGTTCCGCGTTTGAAGGATTTGGACCCCCCCAAACTGGCGCAAGGGTTTTCCCTTTGGCTTTCCTTGACACCCACCCGAAAAGGTTGGTACCAACTCCTTGCTGGTTTGGATCGGTTCGGATTTGAGCCGCTGATTCTTGGAAAAATGAAGAACCTCGCCCGAAAGCCACACCTCCAAATTCCAAGCCACACCACTCGTTCTGGGCAGCTGAACCTTTCTTTGTGAAAACCCACAAACAAATCCCAGCAGAGGTGCCGTGTGCCCTTGTTTGCCTCGTTTTTTGAAGGGGAAGGACAACCTGCCCCCCGACCTCTCTCGCGGATGAGGCCGAGGGGATCCAGTCTGCTGCTGAGGCCCGGCTCTGACTTGGTCAGGTGGAGAAACCGACGGTCGATGCAAGCCCATCACCATGGGTGCGGTCTCTTTTTCTGAGGGAGTTCATTTTTCCGGGTTGGTTTGTAAGGAAAGGAAACCAACCGGAACCCGCAGCCCGGCAGCGAAGGACTTGGACAAGCAGACCTTGGCGTGCCGAGACTTGGCCGAGGCGGGGTTAAGCGTCCGGTCGCGTGAGACCTGAGTACTGCTGAGCTGGCCCGCGTTGGTTGGTTGCTTGCTTTTTCCTTGCTTTTTCCTTTGTTTGTTTCCTCGTTTTTTTCCTTGATTGCTTACTTGCTTTTGTTTGCTGGTTGTTTTTTGTATATTGGCGAACCTTGACTTGCTGTAGTGCCTGGTGTTGGGTTCTTCTGAAGCAGGGGCGGTTATTTGCTGATTGGCCTGTCTTTGAAGGGAATCAGCGAATAGACTCGAGGACCGCTGGGCCTTGTGAACACTTTTTGCTTAGATACTGGCAACATGTTGGAGCTACTAAAGCAAACGTATCTATGAAATATCTGGACAGCAGACCCGAAGGTTTTCTAGAGGAGGGCGATGTCCATGTGGCTCCTGGTCGTAGCCATGGCCAGGGAAAGAGCAAACAGTCGCAGCATCCTTTGCACATGTTCAATGGCCAAATGTTGGACTGTTCAGTTGTTGTGGCAGATTCTTTCAACAGGTAATCCCCTGTGTATAGACCAACACGGAACTTCGAAGGGAGTCCCCTAAGGAGATTGCTCTAGAAACAATGGTGCTTTGCTTAAACAGGGTCCATGACTCTCCAAACACGACCCTTTAAACTTACACTGTGGTGAAAGTGCAGTCCAGCCCAACAGTTCTTGGAGAACCACAAACACACCTGGTGGGGACCCGCAGCAAAGTGCATTCGTTCGTAGTTTTGGAGGATCCTCATGCCAGAGGTGAATGTTGGTATGGAGTGTGGGAGAGCAGGTCCCTGCCATAGAACAACTTTCGGCTTTTTTTGAGGCTACCTTGTGTGGATTGTTTTAGCCAAGGAAAACAAAGGGAGCACGGGACGCAGGTATTGACTCGGAGACGAGCCCACATGTTGCATTCCCATCACCACCCATGTATTCTGAGCAATGGTTTAGAGAGAGGGCCCCAAACTTGGCATGTTTCAGTTTGATGTCCTTGAACCCCAGACACGGCGTCCTCCAATTTTTCGTTGACCCCCCCATGTTAGTGGCGTGCTGAAACTACAGAGTTTGACCTGGGGATGATTGAGGTTAGTGGGATGGTCATGAATCCTCCAAGGAATTCCAGAGAACCCATGTAGTTCCTCTCCAAACCATCCACCCACAGATTCGAAGCTTGGCACATGTGCGGCCATTGAGACCCTCGCCATTCCATGGGGCCCCCAAAAGGGGCCACAGGGAGCCTTGCGAGCATCCGTGGGGACACCCACCAGCGCCAAGCCCAATTCCCAAACTATGACGCAGGGGCTGAGTTTGTTTTTCCATGCTCAACCATGGTGCTTTTCAAGCAGGCACTTTCCCTTTCTGGAAAACCTAAAAGCAAACCCAATGCTTCTTATTGAAAAGAAACGCTGATGCCTTTTTTTTGATTCTGGCTCTCTGAAAAGCTAATTCCGAGCAGCTTCGGGCGCCCCTTCGGGCGCCCGTTGGGCGCCCCTCGGGCTCGGTCGTGGGGCACTGTGAGGCCATCAGCCAGAGACTCCGCAAGATGGGCGCGCGGGGCTTGCAGGAGGCGGACGGAGAAACACATCCAGCGAGCCCGTCGATTTCCAAGTTTGTTTTTGCCAGTCGCGCCATTTGGGTACGGCTCGTCCGATTTTTTCTTCTTTTTTTGGAGTTGGTGCCAAGCTTTTTGGTTGGTGGTTTTGAAGACAAACCAAGAGGAAACAAAACAACACACCATTTGTGGGGTCCCCTAAAACATGACACATCAGTTTGGGCACGGTCTAATTTATGGCACACCCAAGCCCCATTTGTTTTTGTTTTATTTTGATTAGGTGGTTCGACTTCCTAGTTTCACAGGGGGATTATAGTAATCATGTCTGGTAGAACCAAGAGTCAAGCGGCTTTCGGTCGCTCAGACCCGTGCAACAAGGATGGGGTTTGATAGGTTGGGCCCAAGTATTTGCTTCCCTTCTCAGCCCCTCTGGCCTCCGAAAAGGGGAGTGAGGAAATTTGTCCCATGGCTCTCAAACATCTGGACTCGGCCGGTGGTTCTGGGTCAGCTTTGCACACGTTGAAACCAGGGGCTGGCCAGTTCAGCCTTGCTTTGTTTCGAAGCCCTGGGTGTTTCGAGATTGTGTGGCGTTGGTTCAAGAAGGGAAGGCAATGGGACACTCAGATTTCCTATCAAGGGCCCCGAATCGCAATAGGAGCTGGTGACTAGTAAGGCCGTTTTGTTGTGTGGTTTGACAGCCATGGGATAATTTTGTGGGTTCGCATGCCGAAATGCAGGCGCTGCGCGATCGGGCTCGGGGGCCGAGATCCGTACTCTCCAATTGGGCGGCAATCTTCTTTTGCAGCTGGTACCGATCTTAAGGGGAAACCAAAGGGATACCAAAAGGGACACCCCCTTTTTTTTGGGGGGGGGTCCCCACCCTATTCAAACGCCAACCATCGTTTGGTGGCCGTCTCCTTAAATTGGACGTGTCTTCCACTTATTTCAAGCCTTGAAGGGTGCAATGTCGCAGAACATGCCCGCGCTTCGTTTGGGAAGTTGTGCAACAAATGCGGAATCACGTTGTTCGTTTTCAAGCCAAATTCCCCATCCAGCATGCGGACCTGTTTTCATGGGGCAAATTTCTGCTAGGTCTTGCTTGAAAGCAAACCACCACTTGCAAGGGTGTCTCTGTTTTGGGGGACCCCCCAAAATGAAGGTGTGTTCTTTTGGCTTCCCTTTTGGTTTCCCTGTTGGTTTCTCTGTTGGTTTCCCTTACCAAGCTGAAAAGGGGTGTCCGCAAGAAACATGCCTCACACAGGTGCCCTGGCTCTAAAGCCGCGCTCAGGTCTGCGCCCTCGAGGAGTGGGTCCGGGACCCAAGACCTTGGCGCCTGCTCGCGCCGGATATTCGAGCGCCCGACAGCGAACTCTCAAGGCCCTTTTGTTTGGTTTTCCCTGGAGATGTTGGGCGAATTGTCCAGCTCAATGATTCCCTTCTAAGTTAGTAAGGTTCATTGAAGTCTTTCCGAATGCTCCTTCCTTTGAAGGTGTAATTGACACGCTTGGTTTTCGCCTTCCCCAAGTCACACGGTCGATGTATGATTTTTTTCCCTCGGGCCCGCGGACCCACTTCAGCCGCTTTCGTGGGTTCCAGTCCATTCCTGGCTTTGTGTGTGGGGTCCCGAGTTATTTCCCTTGAAAGGGGGTTTGAAACATCACCAGTTTGGCAACCAAAGGTGAGTATCCCTTGGGGGTGATGTTTGAAGGGGAAATATAGGGAGCCCTGGCTTTGTGTGTGGCAAAGCCGAAAAATAAGCCAACATAGGACTAGGTCAGCAGAACCGCAAATCGGTGGAGGGTACCCATGTTGGGATCTGTCGGGTGTCCCTAGAATCTCCGTTGCGTCTAGGGATGGTTGGCTTTGAAGGAACGCCAAAAGGAACAGAAACTGGTTCTTCTTTTCGGGAGGAGGGGCCCGTCCCCCTCTTCTTTCCAGGGGGGAGTGTGTCCCTAAGAAAGACACACCCATGTTGGCATCGCAGGGGTGATCTTTCACCCGCGGATAGACTCAGACTTGGGCGTGTGCGCCGAACTGAAGCCACCCGAGGCGGATGAAGTCAGGGCTGCCGTGGCGAGTCGGGCGCCCGGACTCCGGTCTGGAGCTGAATTCTTGGTACTTGGAATCAAAGGAATCAAGTTGGCCTGGGGCTCAGTTACCATTCAAACAATGGTTGGGCTCATATTTCAGAGTTTTGTTTGCCGTTCAGGATTGCTATCATCCAAGTGGGCCTTGCCTTTCTTTGAATGGGGGGGGCTCAGTTACCATTAAAAGAGGGGTACCAACTCCAAGAAAGATATCCCCCATGGGTTCAGATACCACCGTTCAAACTATGGTTGGGTTCATATTTTACATACGTTCAGGATTGTCATCATCCAAATTGGGTCCCAAGGCCTTTCTTTTGATGGGGGCAAGGAACCCTAAGGGTTGGCCACAGAATGACAATGAAACGACTAAGAGGGGAAGGAACCCACCAACTTGGTTAAGTACAACTTGGGTATCCGCCAGACCAAAAGCAAACCACCATTCGGATGGGGGATGACCCCTGATCCAACAGACCAGGAAAAGCGAAACTTGGACGGCCTGCGATACGCGGAGACACCAGGCGTGTCTTGAAATTGAATTCCCCGGTCTTCGCTGCTTTGAGAGAAAGCAATTGGATGCAGCGCATTTCGGCACCTAGAGTCCATGATGCCAACTTGCAAAACAAGAAAAAATCGCATCCTTTTGGCACCTAGCTGAGTCCATGATGCCAACAGGGGTTCGTTCCCCTAGGCTCGCCGATTCGCCGTTGCTGGGGTCACCACCCCAGTCCCGGGTTTCTCCGTGAGGCGACTGGGAGCTCCGGAGCCTGGCCACCTCCGCCGGGCCGCGCAAGCGAGGGGGTTCGGTTTATCTCGGGGCCGGAAGAAAACCCAAGACTGGCGGGGGGGGAGAAGATTCGTTTTTTTTGCAGATCTGGATCCGAATGTTCCTGCCCCAGAGAGGTGTGCAGGAGCCTTGTTTTGTTAAGCGACTGGGCCCAAGGCTTGGAAACCTGCAGGGTCACTCCAAGAGCGTTTTTTTTCTTCTTTTTCTTTTTCCCGGTTTTCCGGCTTCTTGCTCACCTGCCCACCTTCACCTTCCCCAATTGCTCCCTACCCTGTAGACTGAAAGGCCAGGTTTTGAAGAACCCTACCTGGAGGGTCTCAGTGAAAAAACACGGAGTTTTCAAACTCCTGGTTTTTGAGGTAAAACTCCTAGAAATTGATTGTCGCTTCTGGAAATGGTGTGCACACCTGAAACCCTAGAAATCGCAATTATTCGGTACTTGACGGAAGGAACTCTCCAATTCAGATTCTGAATCAGAATCATTCACCTGAATCAGAATCGTTCACCTGAATCAGAATTATGTATTCAGAATTCAGAATTATTCTGAATTCGGAATTATTGCCTTTGGGCGACAAATTGGCAAAACCGGAAAGCACCACACCTGAAACTCAGCGCAAAACACCCGCAAAAAGCCCGCAAACTCCCACAAAAACCCGCAAACTCCCGCAAATCAAAAAAAGACGGAGTTTCCGGAGTGTGCGTAGTGGAGTGTGCGTAGTAAAATCAGTGGAATACCCACTCCAGTGCAGAGTTGCATAATTGCTGGGATAGTGTACAGAGTTGCACAATTGCGCGCCCAAACAACAAAAAAGACAACAAGACTTGAATCCAATTGTTTCCCCCAAGAACCACTCCTAGTTTTTGATGTTCACTCCTGCCTTTTGCAAGCCACTCCTGCTTTTTGATTCCTGCATTTGAAGCACGTGAAACTCCTAGTTTTCAGAGGGTCTCCTGGAAATATCCCGGAGAACGGAAAAACAGAGAAATAACCCGGAGACGGATGACCCAGGTAGCTACTTTTTGGACCTCTTTGGAGACCCTTTCCGACCCTTTTCAACCGTTTGCGCCCCTTTCAATGCAGAACTTCCTCCTTTCGACCCGCTTCAACCCCTTTCGACGACCCCTTTCGATCTGTTTCGACCCCCTTTCGACGACCCCTTTCAACCCCTTTCGACCCCTTTCGACCCCTTTCCCCTTTCGACCCCTTTCGACCCCTTTCGACCCCTTTCGACCCCTTTCGACCCCTTTCGACCCCTTTCGACCCCTTTCGACCCCTTTCGACCCCTGACCCCTTTCGACCCCTTTCGACCCCTTCGACCCCCCTTTCGACGACCCCTTTCGACGACCCCTTTCAACGACCCCTTTCGACAACCCCTTTCGACGACCCCTTTCGACGACCCCAGAAGACGACCTCTTTCGACGACCCGTTTCGACGACCCCTTTCGACGACCCGTTTCGACGACCCCTTTTGACGACCCCTTTCGACGACCTCTTTCGACGACCCCTTTCGACGACCCCTTTCGACGACCCCTTTCGAGGACCCCTTTCAACGACCCCTTTCGACGACCCCTTTCGACGACCCCTTTCGACGACCCCTTTCGACGACCCCTATCGACGACCCCTTTCGACGACCCCTTTCGACGACCCCTTTCGACGACCCCTTTCGAGGACCCCTTTCGAGGACCCCTTTCGAGGACCCCTTTCGAGGACCCGTTTCGACGACCCCTTTCGACGACCCCAGAAGACGACCCCTTTCGACGACCCCGGGCCTTTCGACGAACTCTTTCGACGACCCGTTTCGACGACCCCTTTCGACGACCTCTTTCGCCCACCCCTTTCGACGACCCCTTTCGACCACCCCTTTCGACGACCCCTTTCGAGGACCCCTTTCGACGACCCCTTTCGAGGACCCCTGTCGAGGACCCCTTTCGACGACCCCTTTCGACGACCCCTTTCGACGACCCCTTTCGACGACCCCTTTCGACGACCCCTTTCGACGACCCCTTTCGAGGACCCCTTTCAACGACCCCTTTCGACGACCCCTTTTGACGACCCCTGTCGAGGACCCCTTTCGACGACCCCTTTCGACGACCCCTTTCGACGACCCGAGAAGACGACCCGAGAAGACGACCCCTTTCGACGACCCGTTTCGACGACCCCTTTCGACGACCTCTTTCGCCCACCCCTTTCGACGACCCCTTTCGACCACCCCTTTCAACCACCCCTTTCAACCACCCCTTTCGACCACCCCTTTCGACCACCCGTTTTGACCACCCCTTTCGAACACCCATTTCGACCACCCCTTTCGACCACCCCCGACCCCTTTCGACCCCTTTCGACCCCTTTTAACATTTTTTGACCCTTTCCCTTTTGACTGCTTTCGACCGCTTTTGACCTCTTTCGACCCTTTCGACCCTTTCGACCTCTTTGAGCCATCCCCATTTCTATTGACATTCTCATTCCTTCTTATTCCTTTCTAATCTAGGTGATGCCGCCCTTGGACCGCGTTGATAAGCAAGCTAAAGCTGCTGCTCATAGACTGAAGCGAGACCTGGCGGAGCTGCGGTCTCGGCATCTACTTGTGACGCCAACTTGGAGTCGGAATTCGAGGTGCACTCTCAGGATGAACGAATTTTCGCGGTGCTATACTTTTTGCTGTCCATTCTGCAGCTCCAAATTCTGGCTGGCCGGAAGTGTTTGCAGCGCAGAGCGCCGGTCCAACCGGGAGTGGTTGGACCGGTCGATTATACTAACATCCCGGATGTGTATGCAAGATTTTGCAAAGCCAATGATTTTCTGAAAGACATGCCTCCCGTGGTTATTGCGTGCTATCTGTTGATGTTGGGCAGCTTGCCGGAGGGGTCCGATTTTCAGGACCAGCAATCTCAGGAGCTGTTGTCAACGCTGCTGGGGCGAGCAAAGCAGGGCGTTCGACAAGCTGTTGGATCTGCGTCAGCCTCGGTTGCTGCAGGGTCGGCCCTGCCATCAGAGCAGCAGCAGCAGCCGAAGAAATCACTGGATTGGCAAGTTTTCGATCGTCTGGTGTATTCAGAGCAGCCTCTGCTGAAGGACGGATTCGTTACACCAAGCATGATTACTGGCGAGAGGTGGCCTTGGTGGGACGAATGCGTTGTTCCTGGTATCACGGCTGACTATGTTTTCGTGCACATGGGAAAGGGAGGCTGGGCAAAGTTTTGTCCATGCCGAGAAGATGCTCAAACAGCATTTTGATGCTGCTGGTGATACTGGGTCAGAAAGTTTGCGGCAGGCCATTCCTGGTCCGAGGATGACGCCTGCGGAATTTCTTCAATGCATGAAAGCCCATGGTCTGCGCTGGCAACCAGAGACAGTGACAGCGGCACAGCTGAAACTGCAGCATCTTGTGTACCCTAAGACGAGTGGGAGTCAACCCTTAATCCTGAATTCTAATCTAAACCCTTTTACTCTACAGTAAGTTTGCGCAGCAACACGCATCAAACATGACCAAAGTGTGTGTTGTGTCGTTTCAGACGCAGGCTGAAACGACAAACGCAGCAGCTTCTGCGTCGCAGGCGGTGGACGCCGAACACCAAGCCGATGTCAGGCGCCAGGAGAAGTGCAGCCGAAGGTTGACAAAGAGCAGCTGAGGTGCAGGATGGTGTTTTCGCACCTGCAAGAAGCTGGCGTGGCCTTTATGATGCACGGCCCCTCTTTCGACAACTGGTCGGCGTCTCTGGACGCGAGAAGGTCATTACGTACCATGTTTGATCACTGGTATCAGCTGCGCAGTTTTGATGTTGTCCTCAGGCCGCCGCCTGCCGGCGCATTGTGCGTCATCAATGTTGCCCGCGAGGCCCGCTCAATGTTAAAACGTAGCCTGTTGCCGAATTGGCTCATACAGTCCAAGGACAGAGGCAAGGCGAGGACACAAAGCTCAGAGGAAGATTATGACGAAGCTGGCAACATGGTGTGGGAGGCCCTGTAGCCCTTCAGCTCAGGCCTGGTTGAGGACCGGTCGCGGAATATGCGTATCCCAACTGACACATATGGGACTGCCAGCAACAAATCGTCGAAAGGCGTCTTTAATTCCTTCTTATTCCGTTCTTTTGTACTTCTGATTCCTTCTTATTTCTTTCTATTGACCTTCTCATTCCTTTCTATTGACCTTCTCCCGGCTGCACGTCCGCGGCGTCAAAGCGCCTCCACT